TCCGGGCTGGGCGGCCACGTGTCGTTTGGCGGCGCCTCGCCGTCGGACGCGCCCATCTCCCTCAAGGACGTGCCGACGGCGACGGACGCGCTCAAGCACAAGATCCAGCGCGCGAGGCAGCAGATCAAGGCCCTGCCCGACATGCCGCGCACCATCGCCGAGCAGGAGGAACACATCTCCGAGCTCGAGGAGACCATCCGCCTGCAGCAGGAGGTCCTTGCCGGCCTCAGGGGCATCGGGGTGCAGTTTGGCGCCGAGGGCGGGGACAGGATGGAGATGTGAGCATGCTATTGGAACGTGGCGAAATGGCCCAACCATCATGCACCAGCGATACCCCTTTTGCCTTCTTTGCATATCATCATCACTACCTATCTTATGGCAAATCCATCTTTTGCCTTTTGGAAGCCGTCATCATGATCATGATCTTGACATCCAGAGGTGGAGGCGTTTTGGAGTCCGTCCTGCATACTCGCCGGCAAAACTTGATGCATCATCGAGCTTCCACGGCAGTGGCGCTTTTTTAGCCAAAGGAGTGAACAACAAACACACCATCATCTTGAACTCAAGGTTTCCCGGCTCAACTCCCAGGAACAATGCCCTGCGCCAAGCCTTTCATCGACCCATTCTCACCAACTATCCACCTAGGACACCGGCCTCCTTCAAGATATCAACCGGACCATGACCAGGGCGACCCGGGACCGCCTGCTTCCAGAAGGTCTCGGGGAGACGCTCCTCATCCTGCAGGACGCACCAGTTGGGTGAGTGGTCTGTCTTTAGCCACTTGAAATCGTCGACCTGGTCCCACTGATTGCTCTCGGGATCTTGTGACTGAGGCACCTATTTTGGAGGGAGGTCAGCGAGACAGCGCAGAAAGCCGACGAGACGAGACCAGCTTGTATGGGGAATGGACGCACATAGCAAGACGGAATGGGCGCGAACTTGATGCCGACGCAGTCCTCGATGATGGGCCGGCTCGCGCAATAAAGATAGACGCGCACGTTCTCGCACTCGTGCATGCGCACCTGCCTCGCCGACACAACCAGCACACTGTCTCGCACGCCAGTCACATGTGCGGCTCCGTTAACGTTGCCGGTCACCACCAGACTCGAGGACACATCCCTGATGGTCAGGCTTGCGAAGGACGCTGTGCCCGCGGCCGGCTCCGACATATCGATTATGCACCGCCTCAGATTCTGGAGGCTCCCCGAGCTAGTGGCCTTGGCCGCCGTCAAGGGCAGAATGATGTGGAGTCCCTCGTGGTCACGTATGTCGACGTTTCGCGCGGTTGAGAAGCTGGGCTTGCGGATGCCCCCGGCGCCTGGCCGGGATATCTCTTCGTTGTAGTTCTTGCCCGGCCCAGAGCCGGGGCCGAACTTGGGCAGCGCCCCAACCACATCCTCACCGTCGACAGCTCCACCGGCGTCCGCAGCGACACCGCCCTGTGGCCCCCACCTAAGCTGCCGGGGGTCGCTTGCCGCCTCCGAGCTGGTGCTCGGGTCTCTGAACTGGAACTGGAAGCGGGTCTTTGGGTGAAGCCTGGCCAGCTCCTCGCTGAGCATCTCTGTGAGCCGCTTGATGGCCTGTGGGCGGAGGCCATTTTACGCATGTCAGATCGTTCGCACGCCACACTGGGCTACACTCAGCATGCGGCCATACGAGCGGTCACCATACCTCGCCATAATGCCTCTGGTCATATCTGGGAATGCTGTCTGAGGCGTCGGAAACCTGCTGGGTGAGGTTCTTTATGCCGGCCTGGATGGCCTCGGTTGCATCCTGGCGCTCGCCTCCGACGGGGGCGATGGAACCGAGCTGGCTAATCTGCTCTTGGAGGCCTGGCAATTTGGTCAGTGGGTTAGAGCCATCAGCAGACAGAGACTAATAAAGAGCTCCGGGGGAATATTGTCCGATTCTAGCAATCTGCGGCACATGATATCCACATACCTATGACCGCCTGTTCGAACTGGTGGTAGAATTTGGCCGGATCCATCGTTAGGTGCTGTCCCGTAAAACGCGGGTCCTGAACCGGTGGCGCGATGGCTGTCTGTGATTCCATGTCAGGTTTGTTGGCCAGCGTGCAAGCGCTGGAATAGGAAAAGAAAATATGCAAAGCACGCAAGCTATGCGGCGTTGGGGGAGGTCGGAGAAAGACGAGTGAAGCTGCAAGCAGCGAGTGAGAGTTACTCGATCACAGGATTTGAGCCAAACACGAGACTGCGGCGGGGTTATGAATGGGGGAAACTAAGCCGTTGTGTAAAGCGGGAGGCTAGCCACGGATGACGGGTGGTGGTGTGTCTGCCGCTGGGTGAGGAGAAAGGCAGCGACATTGCTTTTCGGACGAAGACCGGCAGGGGTGTAGGGAAAGATGGGCGGAGGTTCCATGGATGACTTTTGACTAACCCTCTTTTTTTTGGTATGGATGGATGGGTGGATGGACGAATGCGGAGAACCGAGACCTCACGGAAGCTGCCAGACTTGCAAGCGGCCCAGCCTATCAAGCGTGCAGGGAAGGAGACGAGGGTGTGCGCGCGTGTGGGTTGTATGGCTGGACAAGGAGGGTATGATTTTCGCCTCATGCGGAGAAAGACGCCGCTAACCCTTTTTACCAACCTCGAAGCGGGCTGCGAGCCTTTTTGTACCAGTGGGTGTCGGCAGGTGATGATGTTGCAAGCTGTGTCGCCAGGTTTGGAGACGAGGCAGACGTGGGTGACGGGGATTGTTGCTCTGCTCTCTTGTCCCATCTGGGGTGTAATTACCTAGGTACCGCTCTGCCCCCCAGTCCCACGATATTCCCCGACAGTGTGGGCAACCCCTATTTCAAAGGGCTGTGGGATGGATCGAATGGTACTTTATCGAGGTCACAGTCTCAACACCGTTGGTTGTGCTCGACTTGCCTGCCCACACTGGACCTGCAGGACCCACACTAGCTCTTGCCTTGCCGCTGCGGGGCGGCAAGCGACGACCGGGCAGGGAAAGAGTTGAGAGCTTTCGTGCCGCTCCATCCGCTTGCCGTTTCGTGTCTCATGCCGCATGTTGTGCCGTCGACGTGGCCTGCTGCCATGTTGAAAAGGGGGTGCCGGGGCTGTACGTAACGTGTTGCACGCCGTCTGTCTGGCATTGTGCAGGCACAGACACCGGAATGATCACCTGTGACGCGATGCCACCGACAGACATGGCCTGACTCCCCCCCCCCCGTCGGCTCATCGACAGCTTCCGACTTTGATCTGCTGATTGTGGAGGCTGAGGGATGGCAGGCCCGGCGCTGTGTAGCATGGAAAGCCACCTGACGTGGGATACTCGCAGCTCTTGGATGTCGCCCACGTTGATGGCTCATGTCCTACAGTGAGACATTCCGACCTGGGCAACATAGCATTTTATGGTAAAAAGAGACTCGGTTTAGCCTTGTCACTGTATGCAAGGAAATGCATCATGATTGGACGCCCCATACAGAGTGAACCATGAGCTCGCTGTGGTCTATCCCAAGCTGGACACTATCGCCTCATGTCGTATAGGCATGTCTATGTGGCGCACAAAAGTCTTGTCCAGACGCTCATCACTTTTTGAACGTCGCCGTCTTGCCCGCCCTCTCGTGGTTCATCCGCCTGGCCGCCTTTGGGCCCTGTGCCGTTGTCTTGGCCACATACGGGTCAAACACCTTGGCTCCGCCGTTGCCGCCGTCCTTGGCCCGCTTGCTCTTCATGACTGACTGCGCCTTGCTGTAGTCAAAGGGCTGTTCGCCGCCGTCTGCTGCTTCGTCGCTGACCTCACCGTCTTGGGCCTCGCCGGACTCGAGCTTCGCTGCTGCCTCGGCTGCCTTCTTGGCCTGCTTCAGCGCTTTCTTCTCCGCTTTCATGGCTGCCTTCTCGATCGCCCTCTCTTCCTTGCGCTTGAGCTTTGCCAGTCGCCTCTCCTCCTTCCGGCGCTGCTTTCCAGCCTTCCGGCGCTCCTCCTCCCCCTCATCTTCCTCATCCGAGGAGGAATCTGATGTGTCTGAAGAATCAGCGGCTTCTCCCGCCGTCGCTGGCGGCCGTCCGGCTCGCAAGGTGAACTCCTGATCCATTGGAATGTTGGGCGTCTCCTCCGACTTCTCTACCACAGAAACGCCGCCGCTGTCCTCGTCAACTTCCATGTTGCCTTCATCCGTTTGCTGATCAGCAGGGCCAAGTTCGCCATCGGTCGAGACTTGAGCCTTGGCAACGAACGTGCTCCATGGCACGGCTATGGGTTCGTCCGTGGTGGCCATCTTGTCGGCCACCTTCTCCCATAATGTACTGAGCGGCACGCTCCCCCAAAGTTGTGATCGCTTTCCTCTCAGAGCCGAGGCTTCAGGGATATCCCTATCATCAGCCTGTGCTGGATTCGCATTCGCCCGCGAGACGGCACCGAGGTTCAAGCCACCGATTATGTTGTCGACGCGGTCTGCCTTGAGGACGTCCATGAGAGTCGGGCCCTCCGCCCCCTTCTCCCTCGCTCTCTTGATCAGCCTCACCAGCTGGTTCACACCGTCCTTGAGCGGATTGCTCGGATGGAAGAAGAGCTTCCGCAGCTCATTGGGGGACGAAGGCATAGCCCTCGAAGCCTCGACGAGAACCTGCTGTGACATGATGTACATTGGACTCTCGTCCTCTCGTCGAGCAGTCTCGTCTCGCCACCTGTGAAGTTCTCGGAATACTGCAAATTGTTCGCTGGTGAAGTTGCTGGGAATTCTGGAGATTCCGTTGAACCAGCCCCGCGTGCCCTTGCCAGTCACGGGGTCACTAGTATACGGCTCGTGCCTCTGAAGAGACGTCTCCTTGGATTTTTGCAGTGCCTTTTCCACAAGATCCCCGTCCGGATCTCCCCTCCTGGACTGCTTGACAAGCTCGTTGCGCATCATGTCGTAGACGTACAAAAGATAGTGCGTGTCTGAGCGGGCGTAGTAGAGCATCTCCTTGGAGAGCGGCCTTTGATGGCATCAGGAAATTTGGTCTCACTGAACATAAAAGACAGGCTGCGAACTTACCGGATCCGCCAGTCGGCCATCTGGAAACGCTTGTCCGCTTCAAAGTCGGCAAACTTCTTCAGGAGGTAAGCTAGACTCTTACTAGGGTAGAGCAAGGCCTCTGCCGCGTGAAATGTGTCAAAGAGACCGACGACGTAGAGCCCAAGGTCCCTCTGCAGCCATATGATGTCCATGAATGCACCGTGGAAGACCTGATGATATTTTAGCGTCAAGTAACCAGAAACAGCCAGTCCCAACAAACAAGTAACAGGCTTCTAATACCTTCAATATCTTCGGGTCCGCAAACACTTGGTTGAGAACCTCGAGTCGGCGGCGCCAGGGCTTGAGTGTGTCGACGACCCAGTCCTTGTCTCGGGTGCTGACTTGCATCAGCGACAAAAGCCCAGAGTACGTCCTGAAGTCGTGATGCTCGAGATCTACGGCGATTTCGGTCGCCCGCTTGAGGTCCTCTAGCATCTCAAGGACGCCCTCGTAGGTGTCGACGTAGATGGGCTTCGACTTGGTGACGGGTGTGTAGGGAATGGGCTCTCTAGTCTGGTAGGTGCTTTCTGGGTATTTCATGTGCAGAATCTCTGTCTCATAGGGATGTTTATATCTGAAAGAGCCATTAGCACCGCGCGTATCGCCGGCGTACCTCAGCTTCCGCAACTTCTGACTGTACGTCCACCTCTTGGAAGAGGACTGGCGCTCGTCCGGGGATAGTGGCGTAGGCTTGAGCAGAGGCAGGTATAGGAGGTAGTCGTACTGTGTCTCGCCGTCGTCATCCTGGAATGTTGACAGGCTCTGCTCCAATGGAACGGTGGCGTGTGGCTTCGTAGACAGGATTGGCTTCCATGGTCCCTTGCCGAAGTTGTCTGGAGCCGTGTCGAAAGCCTTCTGAGGCTTGATGATATTGGCATATCGGAGGGATCTATCAAGCTGTCCTGGCTTCGACTTCTTTGCGTTTGGTCCCTGGAATCCACTATTAGGCGCTGGCACTTGTGCTGTTTCTCGCGAGGTGCCTGCAGACGCCGCTGCGGGTGCGCCATGGGGTTTCTTCTCTCTCACCATTTCTGCGGTCGGCGCATCCTTCCTCTTGACAAGTCCAGTGTAGTCGTCAATGCAGGTGTCGGCCTTCTCCAGGGCAGTATCGAGCGCATCCACAATGGTCTGCCAGTTGTCGTCGACGTCCTCGGCGTCCTCGAGCGTGATGGGCTTAGCCTTGGCCTTTGCCCTGGCACCGCCCGCGCTCGACGCTGCCGTCTGTACCAGGGCGCTGGCGAGTTCAAGGATTTTTGTGCGCTGTTCGTCGAGCTGCTCGGCCGAGTCGGGATCGACGTTGCGACGGAAGCCAAGGTCCTGACTGGCGATGGCGTTGACGCGGCGGGTGGTGGACACCAGTGCCGCTTGGATCTTGTCCTGCAGCGATTTGAAGTCCTGCGACGCCTCCATCTTGACGGCTGTTGCTGATGACACCACAGCGTCGATCGGTTGGTTGTGGTCGCCGTGCTTGCCCGCTCCAGATTGCCACTGTCAAGGGTCGAGATGCACCTCGAAGTGAACGGGACTTGCGCAGCAGCAAGCGCGTTGGGTTCGATTTTTTTAGTGGGGCCTGCCGCTGTCTTGTACTGAGACCTTCCTCAGCCTTGTCGTCCCGCTAGGCCGCGGGCGGGCAGGCGTACCGATACCTTGGGTCTTTGGTGGGTCGCGATGGGCGATAAGATAGCGGCGAACGGAGACGAAGAAGCTCGTGGGATAGAAGTCAACGGCAGCTTCGGCAGGCGATCCAGACCAGGATCAGACAACCTCGAAAGCGCCGCCTGTATCTGAGGTCGAGAGAGCAGTTCGATCGGATTTATTGTGGGTGCTGCGCGCTGGCAGAGATTCTTTTTGCGCGCCACGTTGAGGTTGAGGTGAGGGAGGCCTGTCTTTGGGTACTCAAACCAACGGCCTTGGTCACCAGGTTGCGGCCGCCCAGCGTCAAACCCAGCAGCCAGTCGTCGAAATGTCGGCTTCGCTCGCGCCCGAGTGCAACGAAGTGAAGGAGTATGCCGCGCCTCCCTTGTTCATCTGAGACCAAGCGGAGTATGCCTGGACTAACATGCAAGCCCAGGCGGTATGACACCTGCTTTCTGAAATGGTACAGCGAGAGTGAGTTGCCACGATGTCTTCCTTTTCTATGGGCAAGGCTGGACGCTGACGAGCAACCTCTAGAGTACTTGCGAGGAAACGGAACTGGCGAGAAGAATGAGTGCGAAAGTCTATTCAGCGACTATAAGAAGTGCCTGACGGTGAGGGCCATATCTGCTCCGCCTGGTGTTGCTGTGCTGACGAGGGTGGTTGTGAGCAGGCTGCACTGAAGAATAAGGGCATTGACAAATTGCTGGACGACGCGCGCGAGGATAACAAGGACAACGACGCCGTCCACCTGGGACGGAAATGTAGGTGCTAATGTCTTGAGAGCATTCCCCACCCTGCCGTGTGGTGGGTTGTTTGCTGATACCCAATCAATTGAGCATAGAGCTAGGTGAAGCGTGGTTGATTGCCTGGAAAGGAGCGGCTCATTCGCGTTTGTCGAGCACGCTAAACCATCTCCATTCCATCTAAGCCAGCGAGAGCTCTACTATGAAAATCGCATAATATGGCCATGTACTGAAAGACGACATTCCAATGATAGCATGAATGTTTCATTGTGGCCGCTGTCACGAAGAACATGTCCAGTCCAAATCCTGAGCACCGGAGCCTCCAATGTGACACCGCCCAACATGGAATCCCGGCCCAGGTGTGCTTTGGGCAAGCCGTGCCACCGCCATTATTGGGGCTGTCTGCGCAGAACGTCACGCCTCAGGCCATCCAGAGCAGGCAGTCGCCTCTAATTTCCACATCCCCAATACCCTTCCTTTCCTCCGAGGCCGGGCTGCGCTGTCAACGCTCTTCTCTTGAGGCATTATCTCAATTCGGAGACCAACATCGAGTTCCTTAGTAGGAGAATGTGAGCTAAACGGCCCCCACGCAGTGACAGGGGCACATTGAGTTTGTTCTGGCCAGCAAAAACCGGGCAGGGGTGGGTCCGGCAGCAGATGCAACGATGCAACTAGCAGGGGCCAGCTATCGCCAGGCTGGCCCTGAAAAAAAGCTGCTGGAGACGGAAACGTGCCTTCCTTCCCGCAAACAAGCTTCACCCAAGAACCGCCCAGCTAGTCCAGCCAGCCCAAGCCCAGCCCAGCGATCATCCCAACCCACAGTCGTTCCCCTAACTGCGCGGCACCGTGTTCTGTGTTGCACAACGCTGAAACCCGACTTCGGACCCTGGAGAAGCGGCCACGAACGCGCCTCCTGAACCCCGCTGCCGTCCCATTCTTTTACGAGCACGCAGCTGCTGTGCTGCCGCCGCTCTCGGAATATCGACCCTCGACACCCGCCTGCGACAGTAAATCTGCGCGCCCGCGCCCGCCGCTTCCTGCCCCGCCGCCCACCGCCGGTCCGACGTCGTTGCCGCCCTGATCTTCTCCCGTCGAAGCCGCCCTAGATCCAGACCACTAGAAATCCCCCCGACAGCGACGGCAGGCTTGCCTGGCGGCATGAGAGCACCGTCGCAAGACGCGATTCTATGCACCCCTTTTCTGTCCTGACCCTTGGAATCTTCGTAGCGGGCTACATCACTGCTCGATGGGACCTCGTTACTCGCCTCTATGAACTTGCCTTGTTCGCCTGGGACTACGGTGTTATTGTAAGTCCTGTCCGCAGCCATAATGCTCGCACCGAGTACTGGTGCATAGCGCATACCGTATAGTATGGAGGGAATAGCTACTGACATGCCTGGTGGCCTCTCCTGCCCACTCTACCCCTAGACCCGTTCTGCTAAGGCCTTTGGGCTTCTGACGCTGCTATTCGTCCTTATAATTATACCCGTGGAACGTCTGGCTACTAGAGAGGCGGACCTGGTACGACCTGACCTGAACCCCCTCCACTGCGCTGCAACTGGAGGCGCTGCGCCCGATACAAGGCGGCTGACGACGTCGTCATGGAATATAGCACCCACGCTCCCCCGGATCCGGAATCTCGGCACGCGAACAGCTGAGGCGTCGAGGCTCTTTCTAGGGCGCGGCGCGGAACCCTCGCTCCCACTGCCCCAGCCATGCCTGCGCAGGATGGCCTGATGCGCATATTCTGGCCGACCGACACCCCTCGCTCCGAACTCCCCGGTGTCATTGTCGGCTGGCGCAACTCATCGCTCGACGTCTTCGTCGTGGCGATCCTAGACGATGTCGAGGTGCGATGACAGCTCCAAGCTTGGCCGTGTCCACCAGGCAAGCTTGCTTGCAGGCATAGACGAGAACACGCACTGACCTGGAAGCCTGTTCACGCCTGCAGCCTCGGAATGTAGAATTCGCCCTAAAGGCGGGCACGCTCCTGAGGAGCGCCCCTCACCCGGTCAGTCGCATTTTCGAGCTCTGTGGGCAGTCGAGCATGCAAGTCCTTGGCCTTTCAAACTCTCCCGATGCGCCTGAGCTAGATTCTTCCTGGATCCGCGTCACGACAGGGCCACGCATATCCATCCCGCGGATAACGTGCACCCGAGCGTCCAGCTTCCAAATCATCCTTTTCAAGCGGCCCTCCCCTCTGCGCATGCAGTTCGTCTCCCTTAGCCCCATATCACTGGCTTTGGGCGACAAGAACGAGGGTCTCGGTCTGGCTCCAGCCCCCGGCGAGGTCGAGCCACACGACGAGCGAAAGGAGCGCCTACAGCGGGAGAGCAAGGCGCAGCTAGTCGAGAAGCTCCGGCTGCACTCGGTAGTGCGTAGGGTGCCGTCGGCAAAGGAGAGGGCCCTGCCTCGGATCATGAACCAGATCAACTGGGCGTGGGAGCTAGAGCAACTATTGCAGAAGAACGTGGGGCGTGTCGTGGGACCGCGAACAAGGGCCAAGCGCAGCCTTAGTGTGTCTGAGCGGGTCGTCGAGTCGGCCACCACGATGCGCGACTACGTCATCTTCTGGCTCTGGGAACTTGTGGTCCTATACGCATTCCCCGTCATCCGCAGTGCCTTTGTCATGGGCTTGCTGGGCCACCGGATCGCGGCCGAGATGCTCCTTCGGGTGTTGGAGTGGCGGCCGCGGCCCCGCTATGCCGCGCTCAAGGACTCGTCAGCCACGGCGCAGCAGGTCGAGATTCGTCTGCAGCAGTTCTGCTACTGGCCCATGCAGTATGCGACACTGCGCAGGCGCAAGAATGACTGGGAGAGCGTCACCCGAAGCCACCCAGACTACATCCGGTTCTACAACAGCCTCTGGCTCGTGGCCAACGATGTTATCATCGGCATCGCCCTCGGGTCCTATATTATTGACAACGCATCATGGGTGGCGGACCAGATCAGCGACCTGCTGAGCACGTATACTGTCGAGGCCCTACAGACGAGCATCTCGTGGCTCATGGGCTGGCCTGCCGGCCTTAAACTGAATAACGAGCTGGCCGCGTTTCTGGGAGACCTGTTTCTCTGGGTCATCGACTACTGGGCTAGTAAGTGTAATGGCTTTGTTCTCGGCTCCGTGTCCACGCAGAAACGCCAGCTAACATGTCCACAGACTGTATCGAAACGCTACGTCCTGTTCTGCCGCACATCATCTGGTTCATCGGCTTCTCCAGCTTTGCCGGCGCGAGCATGCCCATAGCCCTCTTCTCGGACCTACTCTCGTTTCTCACCATCCACATCTACTCCTTCTACCTTGCCTCGGCCCGCATATACCACTGGCAGCTTACAATTCTCGTGTCGCTCTTCCATCTGTTCAGGGGCAAGAAGCACAACGTGTTGCGGAACCGTATTGACTCGTGTGCATACGACCTCGACCAGCTCCTTGTCGGCACCATCCTCTTTACTCTGCTCTTCTTTCTTCTCCCGACTGTCGTTGTGTTCTACCTCAACTTTGCCATATCCCGTATGGTTATAATTTCCATAAAGGCCGCATTCGACACTCTACTCTCGTGTCTGAACCACTTTCCACTATTCGCCATCATGCTCCGGATCAAAGACCCGACTAGGTTGCCGGGTAAGTATCTCGCCATTCTGTCTATGAGAGAGGTGCCGAGCCCTAAATTCTAACGAGCACGCAATCTTGCCCATCTAGGAGGTATCTGCTTTGAGCTCCGCGATTCGGAGAATGCAAAGAATGACACCGACGTGGCGCCTAATCAGCCCTTAACATCGGTAATAGCGCTTCATGTGAGTTTGACGTATTCTTCTTGATGAACTAGGATGAAGATTGGCTGACATTTGAAATGGCAGTCGATCCCCCTTCCCCTGGGTGCTATATTCCGTCAATACTCACAGATGGGCCACCGCATCCGGAAGCACTACCTGTCGCCCAAGGTAGCCTTGTGTCTGTTGACGGGTCGGTTCGTGCCGCCGATAAACCGCAAAAATCTGTACAGCCTACAGTACAGCATGTTGCCGGCGAGGAGGGCGGGGATAATGGAAATGTGGGAGGCCATCACCTCCCTGCCTCTTGACAGAAACAAGCAGTTCCGGCCGCCAGGTGTGCTTAATGGGGGAGGGAGCGCGCGGTATAGGTCAAGAGATTAGAGACCAAGGGGTCAACTTGTAGATACCAATCTGGAAAAAGCATTTACAGGATTTGGGATTTGTTTGCAGGGTCGTATGCGTTGTGATGTTATATGAACGTATGCCGATCTCCGGCGTCAAGCAGTTTAATCCGGGCGGCCAACTTTGGAGCACCGCCACTTGAGTCTTTTGTGCGTGATCGTGTTTTATTTAACCTCCTTTATGCGCAAGATGAAAAGGAAACTTTCCAAATTCCTAGATCTGGGGAAACCGAAGCTCTATAACCATAAATTTCTCAAAAATCGCGCATATAGGGTGAAAAATAATTACACCAAAAAAAGTGCAAAAAGATACGTGCTCTCCCGCCGGGAATTGAACCCGGGTCTCGAGCGTTGTTGAATGACAAGCTCACATACTAACCACTATACGACAGGAGACTTGTTGAATTGGCTGTGGGTTTGGGCACATAAGGGCTCAGGCAGTGTGGGGTAGGATGGACTGCCCCATATTTTCAGGACGAGCAACAATGCCGGATTTAATGATACGATCCACGGGCAGGTTCTTGTGCTCGGACTAGCATTACATAAACCCCGTTGCGGGCAGAGCCGAGTCCAGTTCGAGCAGCTGGTAGCTCCCATGTTTAGGCATCCCGTTTTCCATTCCCGGATCGGTCGGCTCTCCCGTCACGTTGTTTTCCTCACGGCATCGGCCGGTCCCGCTGCCTGATCTCGCCAGCAGGCGGCCAAGCCAGCTGGCGGTGTAAGTCCACAGGTGGCGTGTTGTTCACGTTGCAGGCTCGAGCCTCGCAGGCGTGCGACGTTGCGAAATGAAAAATGCAGGGAGTTGCAGGCCAAGGGGTTGCCGGACCCGGTAGTTTTGTTTTTGGCGTGCGGGGTAAAAACAAAAGGGCAGCAACGGTCGGCCTGCCTGCCTCCTTTTTGGAAGGGGAGAGGGGGAGGTGCAGGTTTATTAGGGAGGGCCCTGCCCTTTCCTCCCTTCTCTTCTCGCTTCTCCAATTTCTTCTCTCTTTCCGTGAACGAGCCAGAACAAAACGTCGATGTGCTCGTGTCTTTGCAATTCAGAACAACCCAGCATTCCAATCAATTACCCAAATCCTGAATCGGGACCCGTTTTCCCTCGAGTTTCCACGCAAAGCGCTTATCGCCCGCTTTCTTCTTACGTGCCAGATTCAGTTTAGGCGGCTCCCCGACCCTTCCCCAGACTTTTCCGCCCGTCTGCTCCATAATCGACCCGCCAAACCAGCCTGCCGCCCTCGCCCGCTCTCACGAGACCACGACACGACGCATCACGTCCCCGTTCGCCCATCTTCAGTGTGCTGGTCGAGAGAACAGTCACCGCCCGATTGATACTTCTTTTCTGCGGATGGGGGCATTCTCATTTCGAGCCGTCGCGATTCACCCCTATCGAGATTCGAGTTTGCCTCGCTTCTGTCCCTGAGAGCCGCAAGCGCCGCTCGTGTCGGGGCTACCTGGCCTATGTGCTGTCCGTCGCTGTCCTTTCTGTCCTGTGCGCCATGTCCATGATGCAAGCTGTTGTGTCTCCCAGCCTGTCAGCCTACGCTATTCATCCGAATCTCCTTTCTCTTTTGCTCCACCAGGGGCCTCTGTCAGGCATCAGTGGTCAAAGTGTCGCTGTTTCTCATGCTCCCACATCTCCAGCCCAGCCTCCGTTGTGGATTCCCCAGCTTGGCCCAAGTTCGGCTCGAGATAAGGGAGGGCGACGGCCGAGTCGCGGCCTCTTCAGGCCGCGCTAGGGCACGTGCAGACATCGGCTTCCCAAGCTGGACCGGTGGGGAACGGCGCCCGTTCGAGCAGAGCTATGGGATGGCGACGGAGCGCCTTTTGAGGGAATTTGTGTGTCCACCAAAATCACGTTCGACTCGGTTCAGACCCCTCTCGCCTCACATTCGTTCCCGTCTCTCCCGCCTCTGCCCCCGTGGGGGGCCCCTCTGATCGGTCTTAAGCCTACCCCGGCGTTTACCGGGAAGGCCGTCCTAGGCCGAGAGCTTTGTGCGATTGTTCATGGAGAGAGCTGTGCAAGAAGCCGTTGAGTGGAGAGAGCGACTGTCTCTTGTTCCCGCTTATCCTACAGTGGCTGCGTTGCTGGTGAAGGTGGCAGTAGGATGGAGCCGTTTAAAGCCATCAAGTGTTGAGCTGAGAAAGAAAGCGTCTCATAAAGCGTCCCTGCATGTTCCCGACTCACACAGGTGAAAGCTCAAGTAAGAGAAAAGAAAAATGTTTGAGATGTTGGCTTGGTTTGCGGGAATACGTTTCGCTATTTTTACAAGGCAGCCGCGGGCAGCGGCGAAGTGACTGCCCGGGCCATGCTTTTCGATGATTCCCCCTCCGAAAAGATCTTGTCTATGACCCATTTCTATACACAAGGGCTCTAATGCTCTATCCGCGCCGTGTCCTTTTTGGATCTAGATGCCGATGAATGGCTGTCAAGTGACAGCCTCCCGTCTCATTAACCGCCCATCATCGGGGCTGCCCAATGTCGCGGGAACCCGAAAGCCGAGCTGATGGTGAAAAAATTGCTTAGGTCTAGAGGGCTTGTTAGTGACAAGCCCCTGTGCCTACACGCCAACGACCCGGTCACTCGTCCGCGCCTCGACTGCCCACGTGAGGGGTAACTACTGGGGCTACTTACGAACTTGGCCATGAGGGCAACCATCAGGTCGAACAGACCGATGGCCTCGACGAAAGCGAAGCCCAGAATGGCGTATGAGAAAAGCTGGCCACGGAGAGCGGGGTTGCGGGCAACACCGTTCAGGAGAGCGGCGAAGACCAGACCGATACCGATACCGGCACCAGTCAGACCGATGGCGGCCGCACCCATACCGAGGTTCTTGGAGACCTCAACCATGGCCTGGGCGATCTCGGACGAGTACATGCGGCGCTGGGCCTGGAAAGCCTGGCGGCCGATGGTCGAGGCCAGGATGGTGGAGGGGGCCTGCTGGCGCTTGAGGCTCATGCCTGGAAGGGAAGAAAACGAGACTCGGAATCAGCACCGTCGACGGCCACATCCTATTGCATCCTCCGCAAACCCGGCGGATCGAAGAGCGCTCGGAACATAGGCTAAGGCCTAATGCGGCCATGGAAAAGGGTTTCCTCCTCCGCTCCGAGGTCTATCACCAAGGCTCGGTCCGGGTCGTGGTATCGGACAGGTGCTCGAGGTGTCGATGGGTTCTCTACGGCGACGTTGGAGACTTACTAGCGAAGGTGCGCTTGGGAGCAGCGAGCTGCATCCGAATGGCCGGGCGGGCGACCTTGGCCGACTGGGCCATGGTGTTGGCCAGGCGCGAGGCGAAAACACGGGTGGAGGCCATTGTGTCTGATGAGGGGGGATGTCTGTTGACGGAAGTGAAAGACAAGAGGCTGAGCTGAGCTGGTTGAAGATGGGGAAGAGGAATGGAAGAGGCAGGTAAGAGATTTTTTCCAGAGCTGATGTGAGTGGGAGAGGACTTGGAGCCGGGAGAGGGAGGAAAAGACCGGAATAACAAAAAGGGTGGGTAGGGAACGGGCCTCTGGGGAGCCCCAGCTCTGGATTGGAGGCTCCAATAGGTCAATGGACCAGGGGCAGCGGAGCCTTGGAAGCGACAGAGAGGCATTTCGACGCCAGCGAGGTGGACCCGTTGGCCGGATTTTTTGCTGACCCGGGTCAGGGAAACAGGTGGGATGGGCTGGACGAACGGAGGTAGACGGGCTGGGCCAAGGTGGCTGACGGGAGAGGTGTGCAGGTGTGCTGGGGGTCAGGGACACTGATGCTCACAGCCAGCGCGATCTTTGGGCCAGCCTCGATCGGGCAATATCGGGACCTGGGCACACCTGCCCGTTGGGTCCGAGGAGGCCTGAGGCTCGAGGGGACTCAACAGCCCAAACGAGGCGGCCTGGTCTTCTCTGCTCGGTCAACTGGGCCAGGCAGACTTTCACTCAATGACTCGGCCGAGGAATTCCTGCGACGACACCGTTATCTACGCCATGGCGGGCACACGCCGTCATCCCTCCCCTCCCGTTCCGTCTCCCTTCCCGCTTGAGGAGGGTGGACCGCAAGACCAAACGGCCATGGGCGGTAAGCGCCCCCTTGGGACCTGTGTGGGCTAGCAGCCAGACACCCTTTTTTTTTTCCATAGAGCGGGCGGCCCTTTTTGTGTCACGACCAACAGAGAGAAAATTTTCTCACAATCTTGGTCCAAGGCCCGGATGACGGTGCGCCCGCCAGGGGTGCGGTTGATATGCGACCCCCACCCCCATTAGCAAGGGCCCCCACATAGCGGCGCAAAAACATGGGTGGGCAAACCAAGCATCCCACCAAAGCGCTGGGAACCTAAAAGAGAGAGAGCTGTCATCGACGGTGCACGTGTCGTGCTGGTTGGCAGGGGGTGGGCCAGACCCTCAAAGCGACTAATTCCCGCTTTTCAAGACGTGCTTTTGCGTTTTTGCGAGGGCGGGATCTAGAAGACCAGTGGGAAAAGAGGGGCAGGAGCTGGATTGGAACCGGGACTGGAATGGCAGTGGGAGCGATGTCTGTCTGTCCCAAGTCATGACAGTTAATTCCTTTGGATGGGTTGGGCAGTCAATATGAGCGAGCCGCACCCTCATTACATGAAGGAAAAAAAAATCCTGACGTGGGAGCTAACGTCCCGGAAGCACCCTAGCCTGGCACACACACACCCTCCCTCCCCTGCGGCTTGCACCTGCGTCCTGCTGGTTCCCGACATTAGCCTCACCGACCGAAAACAGAGCTCGACCCCCTGTTGCCGCAAAGCTCCGAGCTGGAACCGACGTCAGACCAAATCAGGACCAGACCTTGCAGAGAGGGCTGGCTGGTTGACTGGCTGAGCCCACACCAATTGGAGGGCTTGCCGGCAAAGCAGGGAGATTTGCATTGGGGAGGCTTGGATAGCCGGCCGGACGGCCGGAATAGCATTCCTTTTTTTTTTTTTTTTTTGGGTCCTTCTGCGGGTTTACTGGTGGGTGTGACACGGAAATAAGCAAAGGGGGCATGTTTAGTTCTTTTGACCCTCCGACTTTTCCCTGTGTTTGTCTTGGAAATGCAGCCCGGGTCGCCACCTCCTCTGTTCAATTCTGATTCTTACGTGTTTACTCTGTCTCGATTTACAGCTTTCTTGCAAACGCCGTCGTTGGGCCGCTGCAGAATTCGGGAGGGGGGTGGGTGCTCCCATGCATGCAGCCTTGCATAACCTCTGCGTGTCCCAACCAAAAAGTGACTTGTTAGGTTACGTTGGCTTTAGCCGCAAGCCATTTGCTAGGTACTTCTGCCACGCAGAGATGTGGCGGTCTGGGCGCGCGCACTTTTGAGCAAAGCCGGGAAAACTCGGCAGAGCTGACCCGAGCGCGTCGGCGGTAAGACGGGCATGGGTGCGGTGCAACGCAACAGGAGAGTGCTTATCGCCTGCACCGGCTTGTGCGTCGAGCGTCATCCCTGGTCTCGTCTTGCTGGCACAACTCGCTTGCGCAGGCGCCAAACTTGGGCATCGGATTGCGAGGTAAAGCCATTCCAGAAATGAAACAAATTTCTTGTATAAAAAAAAGAAAGTATCACAATCGCTCCGGTGGGTATATAATCTATCCCGAGCAAAACAAAACTAGATTACAAGTTTTACACACGACAGGTAAACCAGGCCGTCACAGCGGGGTCTTCTCCTCGTCGCCCGGCGGTGCCTTGACGCCGTAGCCGTCCACGAAGCCGGCCGGGTCGCAGGGCCGCGTGAGGTCGACGCCGTTGTCGGCCACCCACTTCCGGACCCTGTCCTTGTATATCCTGACCCTGCGCACCTGCTGCCCGGCTGGCTCCTCGCCAGGCTTGGCGTCCGCGCCGCCCCACGGGGGCAAGACCGTCGCAGCCGTCTGTTCAGCCGCCGCCGTCGCCCCCTGCAGCATCGGGTCGTCTGCCCCGCGGTTATCCACTCCCGCGCCCTCGTCCGGACCGGCGATGTCGGGAGCTGGGGGCCTGGGTGGGCCCAGCCCGGCGTCCTCTGCCATGTTCATGTCGCGCAGCGTGGCGAGGCAGTCGTCCAGCGCTATCCACGTCGCGCGGCTGCACTCCTCCAGGTCGACCATGGCGGCGGTGCTGCTGCTGCCGTCCGCTCCCGTGCTGACTAGTGTCGGTGCTGCTGTTGCCGCTCCTGCCGCATTTTTGCCGTCCGGCTCTACGGTGAGTAGCCATCTCGCCATCTCACCGGCCCAATACCTCTTGTAGCCCTTTCGGCCCAGGTCCGAGATAGGCTTTTCGGGCCCGCCCAGGATTCCCTCTCGCCGGGCGATTTCGTAAGAGACCCCCATGAGCAACGCTCCGAGGCCCTTGCGCTGCCACGGGGGAAACACGAGAATGCAAGCCAGGGTGTTGTTGTCCCACGACATCTTCTCCTTGGAGAAGAAGCCGACGATGTGCGGCGGCGGCGGCTGCGCCTCGGCTGCGTTTGTGTAAGGCGTGCCGCCGACTCGGTCCTTCTCGCCTGATTCCGAGGTCGGCAGTGCAGGCCACGGCGGCGTATAGACAAGGAGGAAGTAGTTGAACGAGGTGACGTCGAAGAATACCGACTTGTTGTCCAAAAACAGCTTGCCAAACAGTGACAGATTTTGGCAAAAGAGCTAGCCGCGGGCGTGGTAGGTTAGTCAATGTGTCCCGCCTTGACATGTGCGTAATATCATTTCGGAAACATACCATCTCCTGTTCACCGTCTACCTCCCAGATGCTCCATTCGCCCTCGTCCTGCACCACCTGGGTTAAAACCCCGCCGCTGTCCGACTTCTTCCTCGACCCGCCCGTCTTGGGAGGGGCTCGCACGTGGATTGTCTGGCTTCCCTTGGGGTGCACGTAGATCTTGCGGCCGGGCACGGCGTGTCGGCGGTCGCAGGCCTGCACGTGCTCCCACCACATGACTAGCTCCTTGGAGTACTTGAAGCATGATGGACAGACGTAGAGCCGACCGAGCATCGGCTGCTGCTGCGTCGGTTGCTGCTGACCCGCCTTGCCCTTGCCATTATCCTTTCCCGCCGCGTTTGTTCGTGGGACACTGGAGTTGTTGCTGTCGCCGTTGGCATGATGCTGTTGTGCCTTGTCAACACCTCCAGGGATGCCGCCAGAATGAAACCCAGTCGTTGACGTCGTGCCTACTCCGCCGCCAGCAGTCTTGACTACCACGTTCCCCGATACATCGCCTAGCACCTCCTTGCCGTAGTACGACGGATACCATGCCGAAAAACACGTGTTGCCCAACACGACCTTATCGATGTTGCGGTCTGCTCGGAATCCGCGCTTCCCCGGCGTTGACACGACATGCGGCTTCGCTTGTTGCTGGTGAGTAGGCTGTGTCCTGTGCCGCTGCTGTTGTGGTTTTGGCATGGCGCTTGTCGGCGTCGCTGCTACTGCAGACGCCAGTGATGCTGGTGTCGCCCTTGGTGGTTGCTGACTTGGAGGTATCGACGCTTGTGGTCTGAGGGGAGTCTGTCTGCCTGTGTTGGGAGAGGGGATAGTCTTGGCGGTCAACGGAGTTGGTGGAGTGGGCGAGCTTTGCACAGCAGCATGTGCGATGATAGTGGTGGCTCTGTTGACTGCAGGTGAATACCCTGCCGGCACTTTCTCTGGCACAGTAGCGACGATCACCTCTTCGTATCTTGTTGCCCTCGCTGGCCTGGAGGCTGCGGTTTCGCGCCCCGGAGCGGTGGCAGCGGCGCGAAGCGGGAGGTTTTCGGCCTCATGAGACGGTGTCGCTCGTCTGACGGGCCGCTGTGATGTGGACGATGCCCCCCTGATGGCTACTGTCGCCGTCTCTTTGTTTGCGCCCGAGGCTGACGGCACCGTTGTTTTTGGAGTCGCTACCTGAATCGTAACAGCTGTGGTAGGAGGTGCCGGGCTAGATATGGGATCGGAGGATGGTTCGGACAGCTCATGGTTGTTGCGCGGTGGTCTGCCTCGTTTTCGTTTCGGGGCGTCTGTGTCAGGGTGTTGAGGAGTCGCAGGCGGCGGCGGGGCGGCTGGAGTATGACGCGTCGCACGGCGCGTCGGGGCGGCTGTGGCGGAGGCTGATGTCGGCGCTGGAGGTGGAAATGGAGCGGCAAGAGCGAGTTCGTCCTGTGAAAGCCGGCGCTTCCTCTTCGGCGGAGGCATCGTGGAGAAATGGCTGCGTCGGTTGCCCGAGTGGTTGCCCGAGTGGTTGCCCGAGTGGTTGGCCGCCCAGCTTCTGCGGCGCGCGATAGTGGAGGGTGGGTCACTTAGCTCTCGGGGCTGCCAGTTTAGGCTTGAGTTCGATCGAATGATGGAATCTCTAGGATTGGCGCTGCGTCACTCTATATGGCGTGAATGGCGGATGATTGATTTGGGTATGGCGCCCGTGCTTCAATCAAAGAACAGAATTGGCATCTCTATCCTCGTTGCTCGCTTCGCTTCCAACATTGATTGACTGGTGGCGGCACGGTTGTTTGCGACAGTTCGACAATGGCAGTCTGTGCTGGGTTGGTTCTAGCTTGTATGTGGGGGTGGCCAATTGATCAAGGAAGCATGCATGCTTCCGTGGGGCGGATGAGGTACCAGGATCTTGGTCCGGGCGGGGCTTATTGTGTCATCCAATAATGAGGCACCATTTTTTCTGTCCTTAGTTTTTTTTTTTTTCCCTGATGCTGCAGGGGCAGCCGCAACCTTTGAAGCAGGGCACTTTATTTGCCCTGGATGGACCCGCAAGACAAACACTGAGCCTGCCTTCATGATTGGAAAGCAGACAGCGGTAGTTTTTTCTTTCCAAGATGCGCAGATAGTGCGTGTCCGAAGCCAATGTTACTGAGAAGAGTTGGCTCGCTTTCACCTGGCAAGATCCCTCGAAATGACGCCTCCCTAGTAAGTCAGGCACCCACCCCGCGCCGGCGGGGGGACACTCGCAAAAGACTCGGCTAACCACATACGTCCCGACCTCGCAGTCCAAACCGGTCTTGTCCATACTTAGAGACGCCTGGGAGTCTCATGGCGCCCATTCCGACCCCCAGGGCCCTCGGGCACCGCCCACCCCGCTCGAGAAACGGCTCGATATGTCGCCCAACTACGCCCTGACGCTCTGGCTAAGGGAAATGTCCAAGTCGAACGAGTTCGACACCCTCACCATACTCGAAAACACCGCAGGCAACCGCAGCTACCGCCTGCCGCTGGTGACGCTGCAGCGGGCCATGAAACAGGCCGAGGCTCAAGGCCAGACCCGGCTGTCCGACCGCCTGCCCAGCGACGACGCGTGGCGGGCCAAGCTGAAGCATCTCGCGTTCAAGGGCGTCACGGCAGATGACATCGACCATTGGATTTGGGTCTTGTCCGCTGATGACGCGGACGAGAGGGTTGGGCGGCTGGTGTCCTCGGATCGGTACAAGCCCATCTTTGTGCTCTTCAACATCCTCCGCAAGGAGGAGGTCTTCACCAAGCCTCGGTCCATCATGCGCCTCTTAGAGTACTCAGCCAAGGCCTTCTGTAACAACTCCCTCTCGATGGGCAGTCGCCTGCCGGCCAAGCCCACCTCGTTATCATGCCAAGCCCCGGTTCGACCCTTGCGCACCCTGGACCACCGCCTCAACATGGGCCCAGAGCAGTTCGAGATGCTGCTGAAGCTTCTAACACACCATGTAATGCTCGTCTGGCCAACCGCCATTGTCTCCATTGCCGACTTGGCCGCCAGCTATATACGTGATCTCAGTTGGGCTCCGCTGGACCCGGTGCGACATATCTCCCGAACGCGGTCCGAGAAGATATTCGCCGCGCGCTGCAGGCTATTCAACCAGTGTCTACAGCTGTTCGAGACGGAATCCCCCCAGCATCCAGTCGCTCAGATGCGTTACAACTGGCGGGCACAAAAAGTGATGCTCGTCCTGTCGAGTGAATTCGCCCGCCCACTCAAGATAGACAGGTTCGGATTCAGGGCTATCCGGAGAGTTCTGATCGCACTTGCAAAGTCTGGGGACGAGAAAATGGTCGCTGCCCGTCTGTCAAAGACGTGGCCGCCCTACAGGCAGAACTGGGACGGCCAGGATGAGAGGCGGCAGCTGGAGGACGACCTTAGCCGGAGTGTCAAGGCCGGAATTATGATGCGCGAGGCTGGATATGCTGATGACCCGGTCGACCGTCCTCTGGATGTCCTTGGAGGAGCCGCTCTCGGCGAATCGCCGTACGTCCAGACGCGGTCTCTCAAGCCCAGGGTCTGGCAGGGAAAGTACGCAAACCTGAACATATACTCGCACTGGGCCGCCCAGATCAAGGCGACTCGGAACGCATACGAGGCCTGGGGCTGCTTTCAGCGTCCACCACAGGATGGCCTTCCACCAAACTGCCAGGTGTACGCCGAGATGTTCGCCAGGCTGTTTGCCGATGAGGTACCCCTAACTACAAGGACGCTCCCGGGGGATGCCAAGGAGAACCTCCCTTTCCACGACGATAATCTCAGCCCCTTCGAGAGAGCCAGGATCCAACCTCCCACCCCTGAACAGCTCTACGAACAGATGCGCAGTCAGAATTTGCGGCCGGTTGGCCCTTGTCTCGATGTGCTTGTTGCCCACTCGAAGACTCCCCAGGAGATGGCGACATATATGCTCGACGGCATGATGGAAAAAGAGGCTGTACACGTGTTTTTGCGTCTGATCGGCAGAGACTCGTCTACTTTTGCCTACGCGGAGGCCGAAAACATTCTGGGTAGGATCCCACGTGGTATCTTCAACGCCTGCGTCTTCGCGCTCTGTCACATGCCGTCCGACTTTAGAACGGATCAGCCTCTACGCACCCCGAAACAAATACACCTTGTACAAAGCGCTGCGAAAGCAGCACGCGTTAGGCTGAGAACGACGCCCTCCTACTATCTCGCGCCGTGGCACACTATCATCGGGGCCTTGTCCCGGTCGGAGCATGTGAACCGGCACAACGGTATAATTCGGCTAAAGGTGTTGACCCTTTTCTTGGATGTATACCGAGAGCTCTTACGACGGCGCCAAGGCGTGGATGTCATCATGTTTGACAAGCTGGGTCTCATCCTGCGCCGTGTGTTGGAAGCCGTCGAGATCGAGGAGGTTGATCCGATGTCTGACGAGGGCAAGGCAATACATGCAGCGCACGTGCTCCTCAAACACGCCTTTAATCTCATAACGGAGCCTACAGCGCTAGAGAAAGACCAAAGATCGCCCAACGAGAAGAGCGAGGCTAGCGGAAAGAGCGAGGCCAACGAGAAGAGCGAGGCACAAGCTTGGGAGCTGGATCTACCCCCGCTCTTCTACCGGGTCAACATCACCCATCTGCAACACTACATCCGGGCCATGGGGCTGCTCGGGGACGTGGACGAAATGGTGCGGGTGGTGGAGTGGATGGTGAAGAACTGGGCAACCTCGACCTTTGAGGACGCGCGGGATCCAAGGCATGTGCACTCGGGCAGGGTGGCCGAGGCCTTTGTCATGTTCCGGGCCTTTGCCGAGGCGCAGCTGTCGCCGCGGCGCATGGCGGAGCTCGAGGACCGGATGCTGCGGCTAATCGAGGAGAGCGGGTACGGCGGCCCGGACGGCCTGGTGTGGCCGTCGCGGCTAGAGGCCGAGGCGTTTGTCGAACGGGCTGCCGATCAGGAGAGAGCGTCGGGTGATGACAATGACGCCGCCGCGGTTAATAGTGACCACGAGGACTCGGTGAGGTTTTGGAAGAGGGCCAGTACATATCTAAAGAACTCCCGCCCGTCCTCGTCGGCAAATCGCCAGAGGTAAGGCGGTCCATATCACATTAAGCGCTCCTCGGTTACCCGTCAAATAAACATTTGTGTAATATATGTATTATATATGTATTAGGTTTTATTCGCATGCTTTGGAGGTCGCCTACTGTTAGAAGTGTGGACAAAATTGCATTCATTTCAAGCACACCCCTCTTTCTATTCAACTCTCCTACATCTGAAGCGGGCTCACAGAGGCCTCAATGGGGCGTCTCCGTCCGACTTTATCAACAGCCGTTGAGCCGGAGGTACCTCCCTCTAGATACCTACCTCAGGTAGCTACTAGGTAGCTACTTCGGGAGGCATTTGAAGTAAAACATGTTTGTGATAGTGTAGCCCCAGGGAAGGGTTGTTGTTGGGGGTACTGGAATGAGATGAATCAACCAAAGGAAGGGATCTAGCTGACAGGATCTCAAAGGTCTTGGCGGGAGCTATATACAAGTCATAGGGCACACCCACTCTTTGACGATGTTCCTTATCGCTTATCGAGTTCCAAAAGGGCAAATAAAATCATCTTCAAATCTTTCTCGCTCGTGCCATTTCAAGTTTGCGAAACCCAATGGCAAACCACCGTGCCACCCCCCAGTTTGTTCGTCCCGTCTTTGCACCCGTTCTATATTTTCTTTCAGTTGGGTCAATTCAAGTTCGGTCAGCCATTCCTTTTCCCCATTGAACCACCCTCCCCCTCTCAAGCTTCCAAAAGCGGCAGGTGGGGCCTAGAGCCTTCTACTCAGAAGCTACCATTGGCTAGTAACGATCGTTGTTCAAGTGGAGCCACCAATAAACCTGGGCTACGATTGAGCGCGATGTTTGTGGAATTGAAGCAAGAGACGTGTCGCGCGTCGCATTTTGTTAATTCCAACAGATTTGACGTTGACGCTGTTTTTGATCGCCGGCCTCGCACCCTCTTCTAATTTTCAGCATATCTTTACAACTCGTCGTACTAGCGCCGATGCCGCGACATTACAACCGTATCGCCTGTATCAGCTCACCATCACGACTGAGAGGCCCATCACCTGCCTGCCTGTCACCATGCCGCCACCACTCATAACCCCATCGACGAGTCCCTTGCGCAGCCTTTCGGAGCAGGGCTCCGAGCGAGGACTGGGAGACCATGCGAATGACTGGGAATGGGGCGGTTTCGACCAAGAATCAGAGCAGGACCTCAAGCTCGGGAAAGTCGAGCAGGACGCTTTGGGGCTTCAGAACCTCGAGTATGAGGACCAGAGCCAAGCGGAGTGGCACGTGCCTCTCCGATCACCATTGCCCAAGGGCAAGACCATATCTGTGGATATCCCCGAGAGCACCCTTGCAACCCCAAGATCGCTGTACAAGAGGTACAACGCCGTCACCGATGCCTGGGAACTCCCCCCGTCAGTCCCGGAGGACAAGGCTCTGGCCGCCCTCCAACAAGGCGACCACAGTGCTCGTCGTGCCCAGGTCAAAGTCGGCAACAAGGACGAAAACGACGACGACGACGACGACGACGAAGATGAGTATTATCTGGATGACTTTGCGATATATGCCGACAACGCTCAGCACTCCGGCGATCTCATATCGCTGCATGAGCTATTCCGCATGGGAAAATCCACCCTGTTCTTCGACGGCACTCTTTCCAAAGGCCAGAACCGGCACGAAAAGTGGCAACTTGAGCACGTGGCCTTCGATGAGCTCTCTATCGGAAATTATGGCCTAGAGAACCACACGATCGGAGATAAGGTCTGGATCCGGTCGACATTGAACCGCGAAAAAGGCGGCGTCTGGTACAAGCTGGGCGCGCCTGGCATCGAGTACATCCGCTTTTTCGAACCGTTCCGCTGGCTAGCCGACCTGGCCAAGCATTTGGTTGACTTTATCGAATCTCGTAATAACGAGGCTGGTATACACGACTTCCGCGAAGATTTCGCGCGCTGGCTTGTGCTCCGCCATGGAAACGATGCCAGCTTCCAACAATGGTTCCAGCAGCACCCTAGTTACGACTATCGCTCAAAGGTCTCGGAATACGCCGAATTCCTTTGGGACCAAGTCTACGGGACTGTAACGGACAGCCGCCAAATCAAGCTCTTCAACGAGGTCCTGCATTTCACGCAATATCCAGAGCATTCGCCGTTGGCCAACTACACCGTCGTCACCCCATACATCCATTCCCTCTTTGACCACCTGGACTGCCAGTCCTTCCTGAAAGCGACTTCGCCGAAAAACGCACGTGCAACCACTATCCCTCGCGTAACCCACAAGCAGGCACGAAACGATGGACCTTTGACAGAGGCATTACTGGCATCTATCAAACCCGGGGATGTAATCTCGACACCCCCAGATGATTCGACAAGCGGGACGAAGTGGGCGCACAACCACAACCATGCCAGGTGGTACGCCCGGGTACAGGGTTTGTCACGCACCAAAAATGGAGAGCGAATGTTTCACATTGCATGGCTCTATCACCCCAAAGATACCCCATGTGGCAGCCAGCGCTACCCGTGGGACAACGAGCTCTTCTATTCGAGCCACTGTAGCTGCCATAGCTCTACGACGGAAGACCGCCCCATCCCTGCTGGAGAGGTATTGGGTATACATTCGGTCGAGTGGTTCGGCAATGAGAACACAAAGGCGGAGTTCTTTATCAGGCAAATGTATTTGACAGATGAACGTCGCTGGGTCGTTCTGCGGGAATCAGATTTTACGTGCAGCCAGGACAGAGGGAGGCGGTACGAGGTTGGCGATACGGTACTCGCACGAACTTTCCCTAATGGGAAGACTCTCGAACCGTACGAAATAGTCGACTTGTCCGGGGGCAACGCCAATTTCAGGAAGCTAGAACGGAGGGATAGGATCGACGGATCCGACACCGCACCGAACGAGCTTATATACACAGACGACACCATCTCGATGCCGATCTCATGGATCCAAGGGCCTTGCACCGTCCGCATAATTCCCAGCGACGCCGCACCAAGCACTCCATACGACAGGCGGGGAACTGGGAACATTTTCTACATTACTCATCGACGACAGGACGACTCAACCCTAACACCCTTCGACGATGCCAGCATTCCCTCTACCTTCAGGCAGGGGTTCAACCCTCTGGAAATGGGGAAATCCTTCACACCGCTGCGAGGCCTCGATCTTTTCGCTGGCTGTGGCAACCTCGGTCGCGGTATCGAAGAGGGCGGGGCTGTCAGGGTGAAGTGGGTGAACGACATTTGGAACGTGGCTATACATACTTATATGGCCAACGCGGACCCGGACGCTGTTCCATTCCTCGGCTCGGTCGACACTATGCTGGAGAAGGCGCTCAAAGGGGAGTGTGGTCCGTCGGTACCGGCCAAGGGAGAGGTCGAGTTTATCTCTGGAGGTTCGCCATGCCAGGGGTTCTCTTTACTCACCGCCAACAAGTCGTCGGAAGCGCAAAAGAAGAACCGGTCTCTGGTGGCGTCTTTTGCGTCTTTCGTCGACTTTTATCGACCAAAGTACGGCATCCTCGAAAACGTCAGCAGTATGGTCGGAAAATCGGATAACCCCGGGAGCGACTATTTTTCCCAGCTGCTGTGCGCAATCGTTGGCATGGGATATCAAATACAGATTATCCTGGGTGATGCTTGGACGTACGGCGCCCCTCAAAGTCGATCGCGCGTCTTTCTAATATTCGCGTTGCCTGGATGCACTCTACCGGAACGGCCCATGATGTCGCATTCTCATCCAGGGGGGACGAAACGGTTCAGCCTCGGGAAATTAAGCAACAACGAACAATTTTCTCAGCGCGAGTTTGAACCGACGGCATTTAGTTACGTATCCTCTGGCGAGGCCATGAAAGGCCTGCCAAATATCCAGGATGGGAGAGTGCGGATCTGCCCGGGCTTCTCGGACCACAACTCCTCTGCAACCTCGCCCATCGAACAGCTCAGGACCTCGCTGATCCCGACAGCCCCGTACGGCATGGGCTTCGCCAAGGCCTACTACAAGACCGGGCAGATTACCGAAGCGGAACGCCTTTGCTTTCCCGAAAACCCAAGCCATCGCGTCCAGCCCAAATCGCGAGGCTGGACGCGGCAGGATCCCACCAAGCTCTTCGCGACAGTGACCACCACGCCCCAGCCGACGGATGCGCGGACCGCCCACATCACGCACCCGTTTGAGCACCGCACGCTCTCGATCCTGGAAATCCGACGCGCGCAGGGCGTCCCCGACGACGAGGTCCTCGTTGGGAGCTTTGCGAACCGCTGGAAGCTCATCGGTAACAGCGTCGCCCGCCAGGCGTCCCTCGCCTTGGGGCTGGAGCTGCGCAGGGCCATGTGCGGCGGCTCGCTGTACGAGACGAGGGACGTGCCCGGTGGCGTCGGCGTCGAGGTTGAGGTCCCCGAGGAGACCGTCATGCCCGAGGTCGAGGAGATCAAAGTGACGACGACGACGACGACCGAGATCGAGGTGTCGTACAGGCCTGCTGCTGCTTCGGCTCAGCCTCAGCCTCAGTGCCCGACGAGTGCCCATGGCGATGGCGACGAACGTCCTGCCGCCGCGAGGGTTCAGGTGTCGGCCAGCAAAGCAGTCTTCACGTCAACATCCACGCTGACGTCGCGCCTTGCCAGCGTCATGGCTACCGGTGTTAAGCGGCGGGCGTCGTGCGGAAACGAGGTGTCCATGGTGAAGCGGCATCGAAAAGGCAGCCTTGAAGACACGATCGTGTGTCGCTGAGCTGTTGTAATTTTTCTTTTCCTGTATTCTCTTTCTGCGTTTTATGAACCCCCTCCAGTCTTTTTCTTTTGTCTCTTTTGTCTCTTTTGTCTCTAAATTTCAATTTTGTAGCGCGCACCATTACCAAATGTGTTTTTGCCTGCCGGAAGGAGGGCAACAGAGATGGCCATTCTCTTTTTATACACATTGGGTCTCTACCGCATCTTTTCTCTAGGATATCTAATTATTGTTCGGCACTTACAAATACCCACTACTCAGTACCCCAGTGTCCCTCTCCATTTTGTTCACCAGGAGCTTGCATACTTGGGCTTCGGTTGGTCTTTGGAACAAAGGCGCATGGCATCCGCACAGAGATATTCATGTGTAGACCAGGATAGATTAGATGGAGACGCCCTTCCAGCGTCGGCTCAATAAGCGGGAGGATAAACCGCGAACACGTCATAATCGACGCCCATGCGGGTGTGTGTCGCGTTGACAATCTCCCCGGAGGGTCAGGCCACGAATTCTGGCCAGCAGACGCGGCAGCGTGCATCATGGCCGCTGCTGTGGGCACGGAATGGCTAGCCGGCGGCTAGGTTTTTGCAGACTTTTTTTTTTAAATGACAAAGGGACGGAAACGCACAGGTGGTCGCTTCGATGGTCTTTGTCACCCAACCAGCCCTGTGGCCCGATGTCACGACCGAAAGCTAGTCGGCGGCAACATTGAATTCAGGTCCTATCGCTTAGTGTGTAGTAGTGGCACTTGGCAGACGAGGAGCACGCCGCAAAAAGCAGGTGGGTTTGGCATGTATCAGGGGGCACCCGTCATCATGGCAGATGTGGCATAGTATAAGTGGAAGTTGGAATTAGCCGTTCCGGCACGGGGACTATCGTGCATGCAGACGTCCATCAGTGTCATCTGCATCTCGGAGTCGACAAGGCGAGTTGCCCGGATCTAATGCTGCAGCAGAGAGGCACCACTTGGAGTTACTTTGGGCAAATATCTGGCTGGGCTGGGCTGGGCCACGCTGTGCTTGCAGGCGCCAGCTCAACTCAACCCCGCCCCGCCCGCCGCAGGTACCCTTAGCGCTCGGCCAGCGATTGGCCCAGGGCGCCCCGGAGCGGGTGCCCACTTTTTAGGGGCTGCCAATTATAGCGCCGCGGCGCCAGAGCCGACGACGACTGTCAAACCCGCAGGGGTGGCAAGGAAAATTGAAGACTAGCAACCGGACGAAAGAGAAGAGGCTCAACCGTCACTCGTTCCACCACTCCATGTCCGCAACCGGGGCGGGCGGCACGGCGTGTACACCCAAGTCGTCGGACTGGGGCTACTACTACTCTACTACTACCCCCCACCCCATCCTGGCCGGATCTCTGCCGGTGCATTGGGTCTCGTTGATCGGCCGCCAGCCCCAGCTTGCATCCCGGTCGGTCTCATGTTTAGTCGTGCTGCTGCTGGTGCTGCTGGCCGGCGCCATGGCTCATCAAGCAGTGCGCAACGAGCGGGGACTGCTCTCTGAGGGCCGAGGTCCTGCGTCTCTTCGTCGTCGGTCAATGGTGGCATTGGTTGTGGAGGGGACCGGGTGTGTGTGTATGGTAAACGGCGTTTTCTTTCTGTCTCCGGCCTAGGTTCGAGACCGCCCTCGTGGTTGAAGTCATACAAAGACGGCGTCTAGTGCCTGCCGGTTTCCCTTGTGCTGTTTCCTTTTCCCACCCTCCATCTTCCTCCTCGTGCTTTGTGGCCAAGGTTCTACTCACAATCGTCTTCTTTTTTCTTCCTTTGTCTCCCGTCTTTGCCTTTGTCGGCTTCACGTGCTGAGCAGCCAACGCCTGGGGCGTACTTCTTTATTCGGTCCTAATAGCCCCGTCGCGTCTTTGTCCTGCTTCCCTAGCGGCTTCAAGTCTTATCTATCGGACCCCTTCCTGTTCTTTCTATCTCGTCCTCGAAACAGCATTTTCCGCATATACACTTCAGCCCGAGATCCGGAATCTCCAATATCTTCAACACCAAAACAATTCCCAGAGGGAAAAGAAAGAAAAAAAACATCCCAGAGTGACTCGCAACCTGCGACGATTATAATGCATCTTATCACAATACTTTTGCCGCTATTGCTGGCTGCACCTTCGGAGGCAGGGCCTCTGAGGAGGAGAGCACTGGTGCCGAGGCAGTTTGTCAACGGCACAACTACCGGCACTGGCATCCAGCCGGCTACCACCACCTCCAGCAGCACGGGGACATCTACCCCTCTGACCAGCCTACCCGTCACGACAAGCGCCCGGCCGACGACGTCGAGCACGCCAGCTAAGACCACGTCCGCCGCCAGCTCCATGTCGAGCTCCATGAAGCTGGGCCCCCTTGTTCCTCCTGCAGGAACTCAGACCACGACGACACAGTCAACAAGCTCGAGCTCGACGACCAGCGCCTCTACGACCACCGCATCTACGACTAGCGTAGCAACGACTCCTTCGCTTTTGTCTTCATCTTTGACGCGTGCATCGACAACCTCTTCACTCCCGTCTTTGTCGACGAGTGTATCGACATCTGGGTCAGGATCGGTGAGCACGGTGCCGACAACCGCTCCGACTTCAAGGGGATTGTCGCCTAGCACTGGTTTCTCCACTTCCACGCGGGCCACGGCCTCGACGACCAGCGCTAGGGGAGTGCCGACGACGCTCGTTACAAGCAGCAGCAGCAGCAGCCAGAAGCCGGGGACGACTCCAGTGCCGGATGATGACGATTTTGACGGCACTGTCACCATCACAGTCACCAGGTCTAAGCCCACAACCACGCCCGTGCCGACTGCGACGACGACGCCCCTCGCACCCGGAATCCCTGCCAGCTCCAGCAGTAGAGGAACAACGTCGACACTGTCGTCTGCTTCAGTCGCATCTTCATCGCTGTTCACGTCCTCGACTTCCACTGGCCGGAGGGGCAACACGGAGACTCCAACGGGCACTCCCGTTTCCGAGGTGCCTACGGCCATCTACTCGAGGCCAGCCCCTACCGTCACGGTCTCCCCCGACGTCTACAGCGCCAACAAGGCGGACGCGCGCGTGCTCAACGAGCTCTACTCGTCGCTAAACCTCCAGTCCGCCTGCTCCGACGCCCAGATCGCATGCATCAGCGGCAACGTGATGACGTGCGCGGGCGGCGGCTTCGACGTGATCACGGACTGCGTTGCCGAGGCGACGGCCGGGCTGCAGCGGAGCTGCTTCGCCATGCCGATGAACTCGACGCGCGGCGTCCAGGTCGGCTGCTTCAACGTCGACTTTGCCCGCTCCGTGCTGGGAGCCGACCTCCCGCCGCTCCCCTCCAGGTCCCTGACTTCGACGACCAGCACGAAGCCTGCCGTGGCCACCTCGACGAGCGCCTCGACGAGCATTCCGACGAGCACTTCGCTGAGGTTCTCGACGCTCACCCCAATCAAGCCCTCGAGCAGCGTGGGTGGCGGCGCCACCATCACACCCTCCCCGTTCATCCCGAGCTCGACTGGGGGGCCGGGAGTTATCACTACGCCGCCAGCCCCCACGTCATCGACCACGTCCCCGACCACGTCCGGCAACCCGCTGACTAAGATTTTCCCCGTGCCTTGAGGAAGTCTGGCTGGTTGGGTCTTTTGGACGTGGTACTGCTTACTCTTTCTTTTGTATTCACTTATACCCCAGTAGCACCATGCCGGATTTGGTGTTTTGACTTTCCGCGTTACCGTTTACTTCCTGGCAGATGACCAAAGCCATAGATTTCGTTTGTATGGATCGTTAGCTATGGCGTTGTCTGAGCATTTCCATTTTCATTTTTCATTGCGTGTTGAATTAGCTCCTAATAATAAGTTCGGCATTTTGGTACCTTGTCTCTCCACCTGCGTGCACCAATCGGAGCGCTTCTCTCTGAGCGTGCACACGCGGCACCTGTGCGGGCTGGGCGCTTCTAAAACGCCCCGCCTCAAGCCGCAGCCTGCGCGGGGGAAGCTTCAACCCTCTCCAGGCGGCCAGCCGAACTGAAGATCCCCGATCCGTCATGCGCCATCCGTCGGCTGGTCTCAGCTGCCTTGCATTTGCCTCCCACCTAGCGAGCCTCCAGCCTGGTCCTGCACCGAGCCCGCCTTTCAGCAGACCGACCGACTTTTTGACCGCATCAGCATCGCTTGCCAGGGCTTCGCGTCTCCACGACAACTAACTGACAGCCGAAATCCATCATTCCATTATCCCACCCGACCAAACTCGACTCGACTCGGCTCGAACCCGCCTGGCCCCTCCTTCCGACTGACTGACAGCTCCATCGCTGGTGTGGTGTTACGCAGCCTGCCGCCATCACCCTCAACTACGCTACTTCACTACCACCTACTTACCTATTTCCGACCAACACCACCTCCGACAAGACATCCCAACGACAAAAAAAATAGACACAGCTGCCCGTTTGCATGTCGTCCTCCGACCGGCCGGCCCCGTCGCCTAGCCAGCCTGGTCGCCCGGAACATGGACCCCAAGCCACTACCGCCCCTGAGGTGATCCCGTCCCATCTCGGCCCTTCCGATCCTGTCCCCGAATCGTCTGCAGCCAGCGTCCCAATAGAACCCCAGCCGGTCCCTGTCGAGATGGCCCCGCGTTCCGGGACCACGGCGCCGCCGGCAGGGGAGGACCTCGGTCTCGGCGAGCCTCCGTCCCTGTCGGCCACCGAGGTCGTCCAAGACACCACTGTGATGGAGAAGGACCCCCCGAGAGATGCAGCCGATGAGCCATCCGAGGGCATGGCCTCCTCCATAGCGACCCTCAAGCCCACCACCGCCGCCAGCACCACCACTGCAACCCACCACCTTACCGTCGACACCAAGACCTATATAGACCCGACTCCCGCTACTCCCGATGCCTCGCAGCCCCCCTCACGAACGCCCTCCAACGCCGCTGGCAGCCGATCACGCAAGCTCTCGGCCTCGACCTCGACCTCGCCGGCCTGGTCCGACGCTGGCTATGACGAGAAGCGGTACATGAGCGAGGACGAGCATGAGGTCAGCGCCGGCGGCGGCGCCTCGTCGCGGGCCGAGATCCAGAGCATCATGGAGCAGTTTGCCGAGGGCGGCGGTGGCCCGGGTGAGGACGAGGTGATGAGCCCGCGTCTCGAGATCGCGGGGCCCATGCTCGGCGCCCCGCCGCAGCAGCATCCGCCTCGCAAGTCTAGCCTGGAGCCGCTGGCGCCAACCATTGCTCAGAAATTTCAGGACATTAGGATCCCGAGGTCTTCATCCCCGGAAAGCATCAGATCCAAGGCCAAGGACTCGGAGGAGCCAAGACCTCCGGTGCCTCCCAAGGATGGCGGCGGGGACAAGGACGAGGCGAGCACCGCCGCCCCCACACCCACATCGTCGAAACTCAGCTTGTCCCTGTCACTGAAGCAGTCCCAGGACGAGCTTGCAGAAGGCGTCATGTCACCCACAATGCCACTCCACCGCCCTCCGCCACCAGAGCCCGAGCCGGAGCCGTCGCTGCCGTTTGACTTTCATCGATTCCTAGAGCAGCTACGAAACAAAAAGGCAGACCCCGTGGCAAGGTACCTCAAGTCGTTTCTGTCAGAGTTTGGTAAGCGCCAGTGGATGGTGCACGAGCAGGTCAAGATTATAGGCGACTTCCTGGCCTTCATCGCCAACAAGATGGCGCAGTGCGACGTCTGGCGCGAGGTCTCGGACGCCGAGTTCGACAACGCCCGCGAAGGCATGGAAAAGCTCGTCATGAACCGCCTGTATGCCCAGACATTCTCGCCTACCATCCCACCCCCGCAGCCTATCCCGGGATCCAAGCCGAACCGCAAGCGTGGGGGCGAAAGGCCCATGGGCCCCGGCCGCAGGGGTCAGCACCAGGAGGACGTGGAGCGCGACGAGATACTGGCGCAGAAGATAAAAATCTACGGCTGGGTCCGGGACGAGCACCTCGACATACCCACCATCCCCGATAGCGGCCGCCGCTTCCTCAAGCTCGCGCAGCAGGAGCTGCTCAAGATCACGACCTACCGCGCTCCTCGGGACAAGATAATATGCGTCCTGAACTGCTGTAAAGTCATATTCGGTATGGCACTCGCTGGTTTATAAGGGGCCCGCCCACATTCTTTACTAACACTTTTCCGCAGGACTCCTGAAACATTCTAAATCGGACTCTTCGGCAGATTCGTTTATGCCCCACCTGATATACGTCGTTCTGCAGGCAAACCCTGAACACTTGGTCTCGAATGTGCAGTATATACTGCGATTTAGGAACCAAGATAAGCTTGGGGGCGAGGCCGGCTACTATTTGTCATCCCTGGTAAGTGGCCTCATCCTTTTCGTTCTGTTCAGAAATGGTCCAGGCATCATGGATGACTTACACGACAGTCGTACTTTAGATGGGCGCTGTGCAGTTCATTGAAAACATGGATCGGACTACTCTCACCATCACAGACGAGGAGTTTGAGCGCAGCGTTGAGGCGGCCGTGCTGGAGATCGCAGAGAAGCACCCTCCACAGCCTCCCCCTCTCCCGCCCTCGCAATCGGAGAAGCCGCATCTGTATCTACAGTCAGGCGACCCCGGGGCCTCGTCCTCGACACGGCCATCTATGGATGGCGACTCAGCATCGGCGCCGCGCAGGTCCACGTCGTCTCGCGACGGCGGGGACTCATCGGACGAGCCGGCAGCCATAACGGGTCTTCTAAGGACAATACAGCGGCCGCTCAGCACCATCGGCCGCATGTTCTCGGACGAGCCGCTCGCTGGCGCAGGCGGCAGCGGGGCGGGGCCGTCGAGGAGCCCGGTTCACACGCCGCAGCCGGGCTCGGGGCGCGTCTCGGGCGAAGGCCGGGATCCGCGAGATCCGCACCAGCACCACCGCCAGCTGTCTGCCCAGGAGGCGGCGGCGCGGCAGGCCAGCGCCGAGGCTGCCGAGGCGCAGAGGCTCCACAGGGCGGAGCACGCCAACGTCGTGGAGACGCTGGCGGGCATGTTTCCCGACTTGGACAAGGACATCATTAGTGATGTGGTGTACCAGAAGCAGGGGAGGTGAGTGTTGAGGCCTTGTCTTGCGCGCGTTTGTCTCTGCTTTGCTCCGTGGTGATACTTGACTAACTCGCACGGCACAGGGTCGGCTTGGCTGTTGATGCATGTCTTGCTCTGTCTTCCTGAGCTTGGAGCTGACACTTCACTCGGTTCCAAACACAAGGGGGCTAGAGAATAAGTACCATAGATTGGCTCTCTCCCAGAGTGCATACAAAACAAAAAAGCGGCATGTACGGGTAATCTTTAATGAGCAGGCTACGAGCAAAACAGAGGCAGCATGTCACTCAAAGACTCGGCCAGCTGGGACTGGCCATTTGCACACAAAGATGATTGGGGTCGCAAGCAAATCGTGATTCATTATTATTCTTCATGGTTCGCAGACACATTACCGACCACCATGCTCAGTTCTTCTTGGTCACGTTCATGGCGGCGACCCACGGCTTCCACCACTTCTCGATGAGCTCGGGGCTGCGCCAGGCCGAGTAGTCGTACGTGGTCAGGCCCCAGGTGTCGTCGACGCCCTGGCCGCCGGACCGGATGCGGTAGCTGCCGGCCAGGGCCCAGACCATCCAGTTGACCTTGTGCTTGGTGAGGAAGCCGCGCAGGCACGCCTGCAGCGTGTCGCGCGGCAGCGTCGCCGCGTTCTGCTCGTAGCCGAACTCGCTAAAGATGACGGGCGTCTGCCGGTGCGCGGGCTCGCAGTCGTAGCCGGGCAGGTCGCAGCCGGGCTTGGGCGCGTCCATGCCCAGGGCGTTGAAGCCGTTGCGGTACAGGCTCGCCTCGACGGCCTCGCAGGTGCCCGTGTCCTGGTCCTCGCTCATGTGGTACATGTGCAGCTCCCACACGAGCTTGTCGGCCCACGGGTGGGCGTCGAGGTCAAAGTACAGGGGTTCCCGGCGCGCGGCGTCCCGGACGGCGGTGCAGCGGTAGCACGGGGCCGAGAGCAGGTTGCGGCGCGCCGTGAGGGCCGACAGGTCCTGGTCGTACTGCATCCCGGACCAGGTGATGAGGAGGTCCGGGTTGGCGGCGTGGATGGCGTCGGCGCCGGCCGTCATGTTGCCGACGAGGGTCTGCCAGTTGTAGTAGAGGTCGGTGCGGTTCCACGACTCGCGCAGCTCGTTGCGGAGCGAGAGGCCGACGACGTTGGGGTGCGACTTTGCAAAGTTGGCGACGTAGGCGAGGCCGCGCTTCCAGTTTGACGTGTTGAAGTAGACGTCGTCGAACCACTTTTTGTTTCTTTTGTTAGTCAATGTTTCCCCTCCTCCTTCTCCTCCTCCTCCTCATCCCCGTTCGGGCATTATCCTTTGCTTACCGCGTTGCCGTCAATGTGGCTGCAGCACCACATGGCCTTGTGGATGTGCACGTCGGGGATGGCGTAGATGCCGCGCTCGGCCGCCAGGTCCAGGATGTCGCCCCAGATCTGGAAGCGCGTCGTCTCGCGCGTCCACTTGGGGTTGCGCTTCACGATCTCGTTTGTGATGCGCGACCCGTTGGCGTGGCCCAGCGCCGCCACGAGCGCCACCTCGAGCGGCACGTCCTGCCCGCCGCGGGCGTAGATCTCGTCCACCATCTGCGTCGCGTACCCGAACCGGATCATGTTCCAGCCCACGGTCGCCACCTCGTCGAGCAGCTCGGCCGCCGAGCGGAACTCGAGGCCCTCGGGGATCATGGTCTCGCCTGTTGTTGGGGGTGACTTTATTGTCAGTCATAAGTTTGTTGGGCAAGACAAGTGATGTTGGGGACATGACATACCGCTCATGGGCCAGTTGAGCCCCGCAAACTGCATCACCTCCCCGCGGCTGTTGACAATGTCGCGGCCCTTGGTGCTAAAGGGCCCGTACGGCCACGACGCCGACGACGAGGACGCCTGGCGCGGGCGAGGCCTGCCGGCGGCGGCGACGCCCCGGCCGCCTGGAAAACGTGGCGAGTCCATGACCTGGGCCGCCGCGCCGGCCGCGAGGGCGGCCAGCTGGGCCACGAGGGAGAACTTCATCTTTTTTTTTTTTCCTGTTTTGTTTCTGGACAAGAAAAGATTATGGACGAGGCGGGAGGTGGGCGGAACGAGTCTCTGCGCTGCTCTCGTTCCTACTCGTTAACTTACACGTCCGCACCTTGGGGGGGATGGCCTTTTTATATGGCTACTTCATGACATGCCAGTGGAAAGGGGCCAACCTTGCTACGATGCTACCTTGCCTAGGACGCAACTCTCCTCACCCAACGCTATTCCTCCCCCTCTCCCGCAGCCATGGGACGAACGGTTCCTTGTTTACTTTTTTTCTGTCTCCATCTCCGGTCGTGGTTACGTCGGTTCGTGCGGGGAAAAGGCGTGTGGGGAATCAAAAACTGCGGAGAAAAAGCATCAACAAAGTCCATGACAAGCTCACCGTCTCATGACCTGAGCTCCACCATGATGGATTTTTTTTCCCTACTTTTCTTCAATTTCCCTCCCCCGTGCTTCCCCGACGACCCTCGCCCCCGGGTCAGGGCACTGGGAAATGTTACTTCATCAATCTCCGAGGGGGGGTTGTGATAGGAGCGGGTGATGGCGGTGCGTGGGCCGACGTCGCATTCTCCTCCGCACCCCACACCAGACTCGCGTGGACGGGGCGGGGGAGAGGGGATGGGGTTGTTTTTGACAAGCGTAGGCCGAGGTGCCGCCGCCAGGGGAAAAATAATCAGATGGGACGATGAGGTTCCTGGAGGGTGGACAATGGAAATCGGGGTTGGAGATTGGGGTAAAATGGAGAATACGCACCAGATAAACAACATAAACGCATAGGTGAGCTGACGGAGAATAGAGATCACCACCAATTTCTATACCTCGGCAGATGATGGCAGTTGACCGAATGCCGTGACAGGGGTAATGCCATGTCGGGAAGTGAGGCGAGGGGAAACAAAAAGCCAAGAGCTACCCACATTGCAACCGACGGCTCGGCCAAAGAAAACTGGCACATGCATTGCCAGGGGGAGAAGGTGGTCTGAGAGAAATTTGATATTGACGGACCCAATACTATGAATGAACCCGGGCGTGTCAAGAAGCATGCCCCAAGAGCCCCAAACGCCGTATATATGCTATGCCGATGCTGACCTTTTAACCACGCATCCAAAACGCCAACCCCAGCTAGAAGAGAGCTTCTAGTTTTCATCCGATAAGAAGAAATACAAAACCGTGGTATCAAAATAATGCGCCAACGCCGTTGATATGCCGTGAAACGCCACGCTGAAATGGATGTAAGTGAGAAAAGAAGACGAAAAATGGAATAAAAGACAAGAGAAGAAGAAGAAAAGAAGAGAATAATAAAACAAGGGGAAATAATCAAGCAAAGAGAGCATCAACACACTCAAGCCACCGTGTCCTTGCCCCTCCACTCGGGGTTGACGATGCGCCAGGAGCACGTGGTGGTGAGGCGGCGGATGTGGAACTTGCCGTTGTCACCGCGGTAGATGCACGTCACCTTGCCGCCCGAGCAGCCCGTAATGCCGCTGAGCTTGTTGCACTCGGCGTTCTGCGGGTTCTCGTAGATCCAGGGCGACGCCAGCTCCGGGCCCTGCGACCCGGGGCCCGACGACGCCTTGTCGGCGCCGCCGCCGTGGTGCTTAGTCTTGCCGTGCTTGCGCATCTTGCTTTTGACCTGGCTCCACGAGCCGCCCATAGCGCCCGCCGTGGGGCCGTCGACGCCGCGGAGGCGCGGGTGGTGGCGGCGCGGGCGACCGCCCTTGGCGGGGCTGCCGTTGGCTGTGTCACGGTTGCCGTTGCCGTTATTGTTGTTGTTGTTGCTGGTGCCCGTGTTGATGACGATGGTGGTGGAGCCCGACTTGCCGTGCTTCCCGTGCTTACCGCCCTTGCCGCCCTTGGCGGGGACGCCGGGGCCGTGATGGCGGTGGCCGCCTGCGGGCTTCTTCATTAGGACGCTGCCGCTGCCCATGGGCCTGCACGAGCCGGCCATCGGGGCGTAGCGCAGCTGGCCGGTGCGGCGGACCTTGAAGCGGCACATGCGGCGGCCGCCGAGGCACGTCCTGATGGACTCGTGGCGCGTGCGGCACTCGCGAGACGTCATCCAGAACTTGGGCTTCTTCTTCTTGGCGCCGTCGGCCGTGCTCTTGGCGTCGAACACGTTGTCGAGATCATCGCTGTTGGAGTCGCTTGCGGGCTTGGTGCTGGGGCTGATGCTTGGCTTAGTGTTAGGGCTGCTGCCGGGCTTGCTGTCAGCTTTGCTTTCGGGCTTGTTGTTAGGGTTGGCGTCTGGACTGTTATCTGGCTTGTTGTCAGTGGGCTGTTGCTTGAGGTTCGTGTTAGAGCCACCCATAGAACCGAGGGCTGCCGTGAGAGCCTCGAGTCCCGAACCGGAGGCCGAACCGGAGGCAGGGCCGGAACCTGAGCCGGAGCCTGGGCTCGCGGGGTTAGCTTTACCGGCAGGACCAGCGTTAGCGTTGTCGGCAAGGCCAGAACCAGCGCCAGCAGAAGAGTCCGTGTTAGTGTTGTCAGCCATCGACGCCGCGTCCAAACCGGGGTCGAGGCCGGCGGCGGCTGGGGGCGCAGAACCGCCGGCGTAATCGGGGACGTAGACCCCAGACGATCCGCCAGCAACATCGGGGACGACGGCGGCCTCGTCGCCAGTGGCGGCGGTGCTGTCGCTGCTGTCGCTGCTGTCGCTGCTGTCGCTGCTGTCGCTGCTGTCGCTGCTGCCGCCAGTGGGGGCCGGGTTACCATTCGGCAAGAGGGAGCGGGCGCGGGCGCGCGGGGACCAGCGCATGCGGCTGGGCTGGTCGTGTATTCTGCGGGCGTAGGTCTCCTCGAGCACGTCGGGGGGAGGGACTGGGGATCTGCTGGTTACGTCACGTTTCCTGCTAGCGTCAGCGCTGGACGGCTTGCAGCTGCCGCCCATAGTCTTCGACTTCTGCGTCCTTGTCACAACGTCCTTGTAGATGCCTATCGGGTTCGCTTGTCAGTTTCATGATATCGAGGCCGGGGCTGGGACGGAGGAGGATGAGGTGGTGGTTGAGTGCATACAGATGCGGGTGTGGTTCTCAGAGCAGCCCATGTGGCCGTTCAGGGCCATACACTCTTGGGGCATGACCTGGGCGTTGAGGTCGGCGAGGACCGGCAGGCCCAGGGCCAGGAGCAGCGCTGCGACGGAGCGCATGGTTGCTGTTGGTGGGGATGGGGTGTGATTTGGTGTTGGACTGGTTGGTGTTTGTTTCTGGGCCCGGCTTTCAATGTGGCCGATATGGTTGGCGATTCTGTCTCTTCAGCAAGGGAAAAAAAATCAAGCCGGGATTTTCCAACGATATATACATGCAGACCATCCGGGGCAAGTCTTGGCCTGGGTCTTGGCCTGGGTGCGGGGAGCAGCCCGGCAGGGGACGCGGCGGCGTGGCCATGGCGGCATGGCCATGAGCCTCGCTGTTGGCGGTGCGCAAACAGTAATATGGAGTCTTGTTTCACCCAGGGTTGACTGTGGTGGCGGGCTGGGAGAGTGCGGCCAGCAAAGAAGGCCCAGGGAGAAGCACATTTGCTGAAGTGGCTGTGTCGGGTCAGATTACTGTGGTGCCTGGCTGGTAATCAAGGCTATTGGCCAGGGTGCCAGCCTCGCCAGCTTCTGCTTATCCTCGTCGCTCGAATTTGTAGTAACTGTCCGTCTCTGCCTGTCGCTTTTATTTTGAGACGTCTGGTAGCCCGAGGCTGCTGCGCTTGGCTGATTGATCCTGTCGAGTTCGATTCAAGTTGAAGTTGGGATGATTGTCGCTTTTTTAGTGTTTTCTCAGTGGCTCGCCGAGCTGAGCGGCCCTGACTGGGGTGGGTTTGCTTGGGCTGCCGTAAGACGACAGGTCTTGATGCGAGGATTCGCAAACTGCCATTTGCTTTCTTCATGCATTTGTCTTTTTTTTTTTCTGGTCGCAAACTCAGCCTGTCTCAATCGTTCCTTCCATCGACAATCACCATTTCCAGTGTCGCCCACCCTAGCCCGACCAACCTCTAGACCAGCCCCGCGCGTGCCGACGACGTGACCTTGGCACACACACACACACCCCCACGGCCCCCCCAAATTAGAAGCAACACAGGCGGTCCCGGCACCTCTACAGTGGGCTGTAGCCTCGGTCGCTGGTGCCGGCGACAGACACCATGGCCCGTCCACGCCTGCCGTCGGCCTTTGCCGTCACCCTACTGGCCACGCGGGCCGTGGCCATGGTCCTGTCGGCCCTCGTCATCGTGTTCCTGCTGTACATGACCATCGTTTATGCAAAGACCTTTGCCTGGGCGTACACGGCCGTGGGTGACCCTTGGCACTTTCCCCGAGCCCTCGCTCATCCGACAGGTGACCTGCTGACTCTCTGGGAATTGATATCTTGGGGCACAAAAAAAGGCCGCCCTCGCCCTCTGCCTCGACACGGCCGAGGTCACCACGCTGGTCGATAAGGACCGCAACGTACCCCGGCTGCACTGGGCCGCCGTCTTCGCCCTGGAGCTGCTCGTGCTGGGCCTCCACGTCGGCGGCTGCCTCACGCTAGCCTTTGCCGAGCTAGCCGCCGCCCAGGGCGGCGAGTATGACGGCTTTTACGCGGCCGATCCATATCGAATATACGCCCTGGCCGCCCAGGGCTCGGTTGGGTAGGCTTACCCCGATGGCTGCTTATAGAGCTGTACGATTGATGCTGATGGTTTTTTTTTTTGTTACGTCACAGCGGCGTGCATTTCCTCCTCCTCATTTTAGGTTGTGTCGAGCAAGTCAGGGTATGGCGATAGCAGCGCAGGTGCCCGCAGAGCTCGGCCCTCAGGGGCAGGCCAGGGCCTCTAACCCCCTAGCCCGAATGCACAAAGGGTAGACAGGACCATTCATAAATAACTTCCGAAAGGCTCCCCAGGATTGAATCGACGCCCGCATGTGGAACAGCAAACCCTCTGCTGCGGATGGCCGTGGTTGCTCCGCCTCAGCGCCGTCTTACTGTATGTGGACATGCATGCGGACATGGCTGGTGGGATTTGGCTGTTGCATGCTTGGTGTCATGACCCATGTTTGAGCCGAGATTCACCCGGCACAGGGGTTCTTCAGTGGCCCTGCGCTGGGAATAGAGCCGGGAACTCGCTGTAAACGCTGTACCAGACCCCATGCGCCCCGCATAGGTCCAGCTCTGTTGGTGGTTCCCCTGCTCCATGTTCCAAGTCTCATTGTCCCAAGTCTCATTGAGCTTCTTGTATTCGTCAGATTAATCTTCACAGCCTTTCCTAGACACCAGAAACATGTCTCCAAGACTATCCCTCATCTGTAGTGCTGCCCGGCGAGCCGCCGTTGCGACAAGGCGGCCTGCATTCCAACGAGCCTGGCCAGTTCGGCCATATTCCGCAGCCGCCGATTCCTCGACGCCGAACTCGGCGCTCCCGCTTGCGGGCTACCGGGTTCTAGACATGACCCGGGTCTTGGCAGGCGTGAGCAGCCCCCGAAGCATTCGGCGTTCCCTTGCGCCCAGATATATCGGCAAACTAACACAGACTCCTTTGGCATGGGTAGCCATACTCGACGCAAATTCTCGGTGACTTGGGGTCAGTTAGCCCATCCTGCCTGGTCCTGTGGTGCCTCTGTCATCCATACGAGCATTTCCGGTTGCTGAAATTCGTGTCTTCTCTTTTAGCGCTGAGGTTATTAAGATAGAACACCCCGTCCGCGGCGATGACACCAGGGCCTGGGGCCCCCCATATGCTCCCTACACTGCCGAGTCCAAGCACGAGGGTCCTGGAGAGTCGGCGTATTTCCTGACGGTAACATAGACCTATCTGCGACCATGTGCTGTCCAGGATGCTTGACTTCTAACGATATCATTCCTGTCGTCCTCGCCCCCATAACAGGTGAACCGCAATAAGAAGTCGCTAGCGCTGTCATACCAGGACCCCGCGGGCATAGATATCCTCCACAAGCTCATCCCCAAATGCGACATCCTGGTGGAGAACTACCTGCCGGGCACACTCAAGAAGTACTCGCTGGACTACGAGACGGCGTCCAGGCTGAACCCAGGGCTCATCTACGCCTCCATCACCGGCTACGGCCAGACAGGGCCGTACGCGAACCGGGGAGGGTACGACGTCATGGTCGAGGCCGAGTTCGGGCTCATGCACATCACGGGCACGCGCGACGGGCCGCCCGTCAAGGTGGGCGTGGCCGTCACGGACCTGACCACAGGCCTGTACACGAGCAACAGCATCATGGCCGCCCTGCTGGCCAGAGGTCGCACCGGCCGGGGCCAGCACATCGACGTCGCCCTCAGCGACTGCCAGACGGCCACGCTGGCCAACATTGCCAGCAGCTGCCTGATCAGCGGCCAGAAGGACGCGGGCCGCTGGGGGACTGCGCACCGTAAGCTTTCCCCTCTCCCTTCCCCCCTTCCTTCGTCCCTCTAATTTCTTCTTATTTTCCCCCTTCCCCGTCACAGCGTGACTAACAGACTCGCAAGCATCCATCGTGCCCTACCGCTCCTTCAAGACCAGCGACGGCGACGTGATCCTAGGCGGCGGCAACGACGCGCTCTTCGGCAAGCTGTGCGACGGCATCGGGCGGCCCGAGTGGAAGGCGGACCCGCGGTACGCCACCAACGCGTCGCGGGTGGCGCACCGCGACGAGCTCGAGGCGCGCATCGAGGCCGTGACGGCCACGATGCCCACGCGGCACTGGCTCGACGCCTTCGCCGGCAGCGGCATGCCCTATGCGGCCGTCAACGACGTCCAGGCGGCCCTGCGCCACGAGCACACGCGCGCCCGGGGCATGGTGGTCGAGGTCGACCACCCGGCCTGCGGGCCCGTCGAGTTGGTCAACACGCCCGTCAAGTACTCGGAGAGCAGGCCGGGCGTGCGCAGCGCGCCGCCCACGCTGGGCCAGCACACGGATGAGGTGCTGCGTGACGTCTTGGGATTCGACGACAGCTACATTGGCGAGCTGAGGGGAAAGGGCGTTGTGCGGTGAGCTGGCTGAGCGCGTGAGTGTGGATAACTCTAGATCTAGAATAGCGCGTGGGATTTTATATCCAGCTCGGAAACACTCCAAGAACACTAGAAAGTTTGATTCTCAGAAGGCTCTAAAGGGTCGATTTTCCCCCCCTTGTGCTGCTTTCGGTAGGCACTATTGCCAGTGGCAGAGGGCCGTCACGCGCACGTAGATTGAAGTTATCATGACCGATTCCGCAATTGCGCTTCCAGGCCCCCCAGCTTCTTCAAAACTAGTCAAAAATCCGTCGAATGCGTGGGCCAGGGCCTGCTGCTGGGCGTCCTCCATGTTCTGGTCCAATGGGGGCGGTTGCCCGAGGGAGAAGGATTCGGGAGTGGGGTGCTGGCTTGGTGCAGGAGTTCGTTATGCAGGGGTTCTTGTGCAGGGGTGGCAGCCTGGATGGTTCTGTGGTGGAGTCGCCCAAGCACGTGGGGGTACACGTGCAAATCACGTGGCATTGCTTCTTTTTCCTCAACGCGAGGGCAGGAGGGAGCGAACCACAATTGCCAGTCAGTGAACCAAGAAATCCCGTCTAAGCACCGTTTTGACAGCCCCACGACTGCGCACTCCTGTGTCTGCTGTAGGTACCAATTGGCGTTGACACTGCCCAATTGACTGTCTGTAGCACCGCCGTGGCTAATGACTTTTTACTTTTTGCAGGCTGCGCGCTTGTCTTGCTGGCAGCGTGGGCTGTTTTGTTCTCTGCTGTCGTAAGTTTGTCGCTTCCATCCTGTTCGACATTCGACATTGCACCAGACAAGTCAGGGCAGACCCAAGTACTTGCAGCCACGCACATTGTCAAAGCCACAAGCAGATACACTGGGCTACCTACATCTAGATGTCTCCTATACCCGCCCACCACAACATGCCTACCCTAGACACGGGCATACATGACAATAACCGCTAACATGGCTTACAGCGTGGCAACCAGCCAGGTACCTACTACCTAGAGGTAGCCATGAACGAGGCTCTCTAGAGCAGCTTGCATCATGACCACCCCCGACGACCCTGCTGGCTTGTCTGGCGACGGCGCACCAGACGCTGCCACAACCCACACATCACCTGCGTCTACCTCGGCACTCACAGCACCAATATCGCCTCCCGAGCATGCAAGTACAGATGGGGATGGGATAGTACCAGCAGCAGCGGACACCGACTCTTCGGTAGCGTCCGGGCACGGGTCCGGGCACGAGTCCAGGCCGAGAGAAGCAGTAACGCCTCAGCCAAGCCACCCAAACGACACCGCGTCAGACGGCCTGTCGCCCACCCGCCCGGCATACATGCAGCAGTTCACCCTGACGACCCAGCTGATTCTGAATCGCATGCGGGGCGGCGAGGGCGGCGGCCTGAGCTCCGCCCTCGCCTCCGCCGCCGCCAACACCCCGAGGGCCGCCATCCTCTCCCCCACCTACGAGGACGTCCGGCGGCGCCTCCTCGACGGCATGAGCACTTCCACCATGCAGATGCCGAGCACCGTGGCCACCGCCCCTGTCGCGCTGCCCCCATCGGCCGCCCCCGCCACGCCCGCCCCGCCGCGTCCGGCCGGCCTCAGCGCCATCCAGAAGGTCAACGCGGGCGGCGCCCTGTCCGCCACCAAGCCTCGGAAGACGGCGGGTGCGGGTGCGGGCACTCCGGGCAGGAAGCCGCGGGCCTCCACCGGAGGCGCAGGCAGGGGCGGGGCCCGGGTCGGCCAGAAGCGTAAGCGCGCGACCAAGAGCGAGGGCGCCGGGGTCGACGATAGCAGCTCCCTGTCGGACCTCTCGGGCCTCTCGGACGCGGAGGGTTCCGGCGCGGCCGCGGCGGCTGGAACCGCATCGGCGTCGGCATCGGCCAGCAGCACGCCGCTAACGACGACCAAGTCCGGGCGGCAGGTCCAGAGGCCCGAGACGTACAACCCCGTCGCCATGGAGCTGGCGTCCGGGTCCGGCCACAAAAGGCGGCGGGACACGCACCACAGCAGCAGCGGCGGCAAGCAGCCCCGGACGGCCGAGCAGGCGCTGTGCCGGCTGTGCTCGCGCCTGGCCTTTACAAAGGCGAACCAGATGGTGTTCTGCGACGGCTGCAACGACGCGTGGCACCAGGGCTGCCACGAGCCGCGCATAGACGACTCGTTCGTCAGCGACGCCAAGAAGCAGTGGCACTGCTCCGCCTGCACAGCCAAGCAGGACCGCCGCGAGGCCGCCCAGCAGGCAAAGAGGATCAAGGTGGTGCCCGTCGAGCCGGCAAAGTCGAAAGTCAGCTGGGCCGGGCGGACGCCAGGACAGGTGAGGAGGCTGCTAGGGGTGTTTGCACGTGCCTGCGTATATATCTACATGCCACGCGAACGCCGTCACTTCCCGTACCCATCTTGCTGACTCCCCAACTCATGACGTGTAGATACGCGCCTACCTCACCACCCTGCCGCACACCGAGCTCGTCGAGATGGTGATGCGCTGCACGAGCATTTACCCGCACCTGGCCATCTTCCCGCCCGACGACGACGGCGCGGGTCCCAAGACGCCCGTCGTCAACTCCAACGGCAACACCGCCAACACGCCCTCGGCGGCAACAGCCCCGACGACGCCAGCAGCGCCGGCCGGCCGCCAGATGCCGGCCGTCAACGACGGCACCTGGGAGGACCCCGCCGGCATACTCGAGGCGTGGAAGCGCCCGAGGCCCGGCGCCGGCCCGCCGACGGCGCTGGCCGCGCGGCTGCAGACCTTCGAGGCCGGCCCGGGCGCCCACCTCGAGGACCCGGACGACTTTGCGTCCTTTAGCCACTCGGTCTACGACGGCCGCGGCAGCAGGGCTGAGGAGGCGGGCATCCGCGTTTGAGACGGGTGGTAGTGCGCTGGGCGGCGCTGTGTAACATCAACATGGGATTTTTTTTTAATAAAAAACCCCCCGAAAAAAAGAACGAAAAATAGATGGTGCTGTCTCGTTGACTTGACCGGCTGAACAAGGGAGTTGAGGCTCGTTTTCTTTCTTCTCTACCACTAGTACCAGATATCATGTTAATCAGCGATACATGTGGTTACTACTCTCGATCATGGATAAAACAAAGCACAACATCCGTCAGCACAGACGTGCCCAAATATGGCCCAGGCCTGGGTGGCGGCTAGCAGCCGCCCAGACCGCATGGGTCGGGGCGCGGTGATAACTGCATGTGACTGACTGACCTCCACGCCCCCCGATACACGCGACCCGGGCTGTGGGTGGCCCAGCGGCCTTTTGGTTGTGACTGCTGTTGGTTCAGGGAGGGGGGGCGTTCCTTTTCCCTCTAGCGGGTGTAACCCTCCCTCGCCGCGTGCCGAGACGAGGGGGCGATGCATTGTGGATGGGATTTTGTGAGCGGCAAGGGCGCATATCTCTTCCCACTTTAACCAACGAAAGAGATAACCTTACACCCATACCCGTATAAGTTTCAGCAAACGACATCACAAGCACATACGACCATACCCACCGGAATATACTGGATCCCGTCCGCTCTCCCCTAATCAAACCAGTAAGGGATGGATTGTCTAGGGAAAGTTCCAACTTACAGGGGTCGAAGCTGATGGCCAATAAGCGGCCGCCTTTGTTCTCTATTAAACAGTGTCCGCCGCCTTCTGCAGCACCTCGACAACCTGGGCTCTGAATGCTTGCTGCAGGCGAAGATCCTCCTTGGTGTCGTCAGCGACACCAAAGTCACCGCTCAGGCAGCGCAACACAACGTCGCGGTAGCGGCTCCCCATCTTGGAGGCTAGGTGGCGTTCAGCATGGCGCACGAGGTGGCGGTGGACGGAGCGCGGGTCAGGGGCATTGCTGCCGGTGGCCACCGTCCGGCCTAGCAGGTCCAGGGCCGGCCGCCACAACCCGAGCTCTAGTAGCACGACGCCTAGCGCGTATATATCGTGCAGTTTGTTGAACAGCTGCGCCGGGTTCCGCTGGCGATCCGGGTGCCGATATATGTCGCGCGCCAAGCACGAGTCGCCGTAACCGTGAGAGAAATATAGCTCTGGCCGGCTAAACTCGAAGCCGAGCACCCATGGCTCTGAGATGTCGATGCAGGACGAAGGAAGTGTTGGTCCCTCCTCTCGGTCGGCAGATGCGGTGGTGTCGAGGCTGGGAAAGAACAGAATGTTCTCGCTGCGGAAGCTTTTATGGACCTGTTCTTGTGATCAGCAATATTGCCGACCATGCGGACTCTCTCTCAAATGCCTCACCCATTTTACAAGTTGCAACTGCGAGATGCAGCGCGCAAGATGTCCTGCGAGTAAGAATCTCTGCCCGAGAGGCGGCGGCGGCACGTCTTTCGATGACAGTATCTTCAGTAGACTCACGGACATCGGGTCTACGTTGTCGGGGATGGCGAACAGGAACGCGACTCGGTTGTGCTCCGGCTGGCGTACCCAGCCCTCGCAGCGCGGCGTTCGAAAGACTACCCCCTTTGGTTGGCGTAACAGCCTCGCCAGCTGGTCTACAAGGTCCTTGGTCCGGTCATCCAAGTCGACCGAGACAGGCGACTCGGGAGCGTACGAGCGATACTCGACCAATAGGGGCCTCCGCTCCCTACCAGGTGTGTTGTCGTTCTCTCGAGAGTGCGTTATCGCAATGCCAAAGCGGCCATCGCTGTCGTCGCGGACAAACTCACTGGGACGCAACGTGAGTTCCGCCGCGCCATCGGCGCCACCAAGTATTTCAAAGCTCGCTAGCCCCGGTCCGCAGTCCCGGCTGCCGGCGTCGGCGGCTACGATTTGCCGCAGGCGAGCGTCTGTATCGAAGCCCAAGACACGCGAGCTGACATCGTCTTCAAGGCGCCGCAGGTGCGCCAGATCGACGCCGATGGTGGTGGCAAGGCAACACAGCTTGATGTTCTCATGGATGCGATTGTTGAAGTCGCTGAACTGGCACAAAATGGCCTCGACGCGCTTTTTATCGAGCAGAGACCACCGCAGGCGCACGAATGAACGGGGACGAGCGAGAGCATGGCGGAGCGCTACAGGACTTGTAGCCGGGGCTAGTGTGGTCGGCATCTCGGATCTGGGGCTCGAGTTTCCTCCATTGCTCATGGAAGGTGCATCCCCATCAGAGGAAGGGTGACTGCCGCCGGCGCAGGCATTAGGGTCACCTTGACCGCGGCTCAGGAGCTCGTGGGCTTGCTGGAGGATACCAGTTGCTTCCTCAAAGAAGAGATGGATATTCTTCTGCACCTCGGTATCGAACTGCACGAAAAGTGTTCTCCCCGCGTACACCTTAAGGTCGTCAGTATCGACCCGGTGATCGTAACGACATCCCGGGCAGCCGCTGTCAACTCACATTGGAAGGCTCGAATAGCAGCTGATGAAGCGCACGGGTACGATTGTTCTCATCTCGGATCTTGGCTTCGAGAAGTTTTGTATCCTGCGCTGGATAAAGATGCTGTTGTTATAATGAAAACGAATGTGACATGGATTCGACCTACATTATCAAACTCGCGGAAATTGGACACAAGCACAGCCGTTCGCTCCCCCATCTTCCACAACTGATCCAGGGCAGCAAGTGCCAGTCCGGCGATGCCGATGGGATCCATTGTGCTGTTGTTGGAGAGCCGCGCAAGGGCGTCTAATCTTACGCTCTGGCCTCGAATGGCAAGTAGGTGGGTATATGGGGACGTGAATATCGTGTTGATGTGTGCTTGGAGAAGTCAAGATGCGGCGCCCAAGAGCGCCGGCAAGGCTCTGAGGATTACGACCCAAAAGGCGTTAGGCTGTAATAAGGCTGCGCCACCCCCGCGGCATTGCGTCTAGGTTGCTTCTCGTCGGATCCATGCCTTGCCCTCAATCAATCACCAAAGTTTTCTAAGAGTTCCTTCTATTGTGGGATGGTCAATATTGCAAGGCAACAACTTTGCGAGGCAACTTTGTCATCCGATCTCCACATTTCGAGCGATTAAGCATGTCTGCCGGTCCGGGGTCCCCTGCGCGCGCCGCACCTGGTGGGGATCCCGACCTCGATGTGGTTTCTCGGCCGGACGATGCCGCGTTGCCCAGCTCCACCCTTAGCTGGAATACGTCCCTCTCGCGGACGTCAGTCTCTAGTCTTAGCCGAGCCATATTTTCGGAGCAGCAAAACTACTCGGCACACGGCCTCGACGATGTCCTCCGGGTCGTCAAAAACCTCCGTCTACGGCACTACCGCTTCGGGGAGCTGGTCCGGCAAGAAGTTCTCGGCGAGGGCGAAACGTATATAGTAGAGCGCTGCCGTGTCCGGGACGCGGTTTTCGCCGTCAAGCATCTCAAGGTGCGCTCGGACGCCGGCGAGGAACTCTTCCGGCAACGACTCAGGTCCGTCGTCTTGGAACTCCAGATCATGTGTCACGGACCTCTCCGCCACCACCCCAATGTGCTCGCGGTCCTGGGCTATGGCTGGAATATGCACGACACCCTGGTTGTGCCTTATATTCTCGTCGAGCACGCGCGCTACGGGACTCTGCGCCAGTACCTCCAAGCCGCGGCCAAGCCTTTGCCGGTCCGGCACATCGAATCCCTCACGGGCGATGTAGCTGCCGCCCTCTCAGCCATCCACACATGCGGCATTATCCACGGTGATGTCAAGCTCGACAACACACTCGTCATGCCATCCTGGGACCGGCCCGCGGGGGCACTGGTAAAGCTCATCGATTTCGGACACGCCATCGTGATGAATGACAAGTCGAGGAAGAATGATGGTGGTCCCATGCGATACGGGGGAACGCTTATGTGAGTCAGCCTGGTCCATGCGCTTATATATATTGTCTCTTGCTCACACAACAGCAGCTATAACGCCCCCGAGGTTGGGAATCAGAACCTTTTCCCTATCCCCAGAGAGGACCTCCCTAAATGTGATATGTGGGCTTTCGGCCTCCTGCTCTGGGAGGCATGTATACAGGGCCGCGAGTATCTGAAGTATCTGCAAGAGAGGTGGCCGGACACAGCAGCGAGTCGAGCCGAGACGTCTGTCCCACCAGCGGATCTGCTTCATCATTACGCCATGCGCTCCATCCCGGGAGGTTTACAATACATGTTTGTCCGTGCCGTTCTGCGCTGGACCCTCCAGGCGGACCCGGAAAACCGCATTTCGGACGTTCGAAAAGCTCCGATTTTGACGGCGAACGAATGGTTTGCTGTTGGTTTGGGGGGACTCGCTGCCGACCTGGCTCTCCACCTAGAAAGTCCATTGCCAACCTTTGAGATGTTCCGATCCGAGAACGGACGCGAGATCCCCTGGGCACATGAAAAAGGCCTCTTGCAAGGTCTCGAGCGCGCCCACGTGGCTAAGCTGTCCAAAGACGTCGGCCCTATCGCATGGCAGATTGCACTTTGCCACTATTTCGGCTTCGGTACGGCACGGAATTCTAGGAGCGTCACCGAATATGTCCAGATTGCGAGAGCCTACAACCATCCCCTTGCCACGGCCTTTGGACATGTACTGGAACAAGAGCAGGCCAATTCAAAAACCCCCCAAGCAACATACGCCACCCAAATCGCTGAACTGCTCCGAGCCACGGACATGGCACTCGAGATGCCACCGCTCGTAAATGCATGCTTCAACGGCGACTTGACGACTATTTTATCCTTAGTTAGGGATAAAAAGTACAATGAATCCGAGACATCCGATGGTTGCAACCCGTTCCACTGGATTTTTATGCTTGGTGATGGAAGAACCGCTAAAGGAATACGGACGTTTGCCGAGCTTGTCAAGGAGCAAGACAGGCGCCCAAGGACGTTTGCCGAGCCTGTCACGGAGGAAGACAGGCGGGCGTTTGCCGAGCCCGTCAAAGAGCAAGACAAGCGCCCAAGAACGTTTGCCGACCGTATCAACGAGCAAGACAAGCGCTCAAGAACGCTTGCCGACCTTTTCAAAACGCAAAACAAGCGCGAAATAACGATTGCCAAGTTTTTTGAAAAGTACCTCAAAACGCTTGCCGAAGAGCAAGACAAGCGCCGAAGGACGTTTGCCGAGCCCGTTGAGGAGCAAGACAGGCGCCTAATAACGATTGCCGAGGTTTTTAAGGAGCAAAACAGGCACTTAAGGACGTTTGCCGAGGAGCAAGACAAGCGCCGAAGGAGGGTTGCCGAGCTTTTCAAGGAGCAAGACAAACGCCTAAAGACGTTTGCCGAGCTTTTTAAAGAGCAAGATAGGCGCCCAAGGACGTTTGCCGAGCCCGTTAAGGAGCAAGACAGGCGCCCAAGGACGAGTGGCAGCATGTCGCCGACGCGTGCGCAAGTTAATTCGCCAACTCGCACACTCCGCAAAGTGCACGAACAGTGGCCGCTACATTTCCTAGGAACTCCATTGTCGGCATCGATATCGGTCAACAGCCTCTACGGTGTCAAGGCACTGCTCTCTCTCGGGGCCGACCCCTTGCGACGTGTGTACCACGACGGCCAGTTCCCCGCCGATGACGCTCGTTCGGAATGGACGGCTCTCCATGTGGCAGCGAAGTATCACTGTAGCGAAATTTTCGTGGAGCTGGCGAAGCACGTTCCAGTCGAAGAGCATCGCGACATCTCACCTCTGGCTTGCGCTCTGAGCTACTCAAGCCCGCTCGACCGCATCGCCATGCACGGCGCCCTGCACCGCAACGAGCTGGACAAAACAGTGGTCGCCATACAAAGCATACAGGCACTTGACACGGCATCGCGCAGTGGAATGTCGCCAATGATGCAGGCGATCGACTTTGACGATCACGATGTAGTTGCTGCCCTCCTTCGCGCAAGCCCCAACCTCGCGGTCGCCCGTATGGTCTTGCCCTGCAACGAGTCCGTCTTCACCTACCCAATTCACTTCGCCTCCCAGATCGCATCTCGGCGCGATCCACCAGAGGATCCTTTTGTATTTCAACTTATTGAGTCGTCTGCGAATCGTTTCGGCGATGGCGCGGACGCACTGATGGCCCGAGACGATCATGGCCGCACTCCACTCCACCTTGCCGTTACCGGGCCCTCAAGTCGCGTCGCTAAACGGATCCTTGCCAAACGGCGTGACTTGCTTGAGGCCGAAGATTGTTTCGGACGTACCGCGTTGCACTACTGCGGCTCAACCGTCAACCTCGAGTTGCTTCTTGGGGCCGGCGCCGACATCGACCATTGCGGTGCAAACGGCATGGCTGCGCTGCACTGTGCGGCCCGCGACGCCGAGATTGAGCTTGTGCAGGTATTGCTTAAGCATCGTCCACGATTGGACCTGAACGAAAACGTGTACGGGACGCCTCTCCACCTCGCCGTGTGGCGCGATTCTATGAAAATAGTAAGAGAGTTGCTGGATGCCGGAGCCCCCGTCAACCATAGCGACACGCGGGGCAATACCTCACTTCACGTCGCCGCGAGGCTCAATCGAACCAATATCTGCCGACTCCTACTGGACTCCGGAGCTGCCGCCAATGCACTGAATAAGAATTTAAAGACAGCCAGACACATCGCGGCGGACGTAGGCACGCGGGGCAATGAGGGCATTCTCAAGCTCCTGGAGGAAAGGGGCGCGCGGAAAATCGGGCGGCCGCGTCTCCATACCGAACCCGACTTTCTTTGGGACGCCGATAGCCCCCACTTGTCAGGACAGCCTCTAGGGTACGCGGAGCTCGACGGCTCGTAACAAAACGGACGACACTTGCGCGGATTGAAAGTAGCGCAGCGGCGGTGTGGTGGCGTGGCGCGTACCCGTGTAAATTCTCCGTGCTAAAGCTTGGAATAGTGTGCCGGCCCGTGGTGATAGCCTCCTTTGTGACAAAGGATATGTGATATTGGGTGTGTGTTGCGATCCAAGATAGAAAGAGAAGAATAAAGATTGTATGTGGCTAAGGGTGTTGCTGGTGTTTAGAAGTGTTTCCGGATGGTAGAAGACGATGATGAGTGTGAAAATGGCATTGTGTGTTGTTCGTCGATATCGACATATTATTATTATTCTAGTCGCCTGCCAGCCCCTAAAGCTCCGCTCAACATTATGGTTGATTCATCGAAGTGCCTGGGCGTGGAGCCCAACATGGTACACTCAGCATTTTGATGAAAGCCAGAACCAACACCCATGATTGGACCCGCTACCTCTCAACGCTGAGCCACTTATGGGCGTCAAGTGTGATATCATACACTCAGCATATGTCCCGACAGACTGGAACCTACGCTGTTTATGGTACCGAACCCGCCGCGGGCGCGCAGGGACGCAGAGTCCAGCAGCTGGTGAGGCCCAGCAAGCAGTAACCGCCAAGAGATCCACACTGGCGGCTAACACAGCCACCGACGCGATTTTGAGGAACAACGAGCGGCACACGTGGGGTATCTGTCCTGGCAGCTCCTCGGGTCCATCCAGAAAGAGAGCAAACGGGGCGTTGGTTTCGTCCTCGGGCTTGGAATGGAGATTGGATGGTGAATCCTCTCTGCCTGGTATGTGCCTAGGAATGCTATTCGCCTGGTATTTGCGCGCCTGCCTTCCGCAATGCCTCCAGCAGCCGATGCCCGCCCTCCTGCTGGAACGCAGCCGCTACGGTCCTGTCCTGATTGTCTCGAATGTCAAGACGAGCGCCCCGTCGGATCAGAATTCCCACAGCTTCTACGTATGTTTCGACGTTGTGCTGATATGGCGCGTTGGGAGGCTCCCAGTCATCAAGAAGTTTTCGAGCAAGGAGATGCAGCGCTGACCTGCCGCGGTGGTCGACGGCGTTGATGTCATCGAGATTGTGACATGCATCCGCTAAGAGGCGAATGCAGCCTATGAAGTCATCCTTGGTTGGCTTCGACCCAAAGGACGTGAATCTAGCGCCAAGTAGGCGAGCATGAGTTAATAGGGGGGTCTCTCCGCAGCTGTTACGTGCTCTAGGATCCACCCCAGCATCTAAGAGCAGCTTGACAGTTGACGGGGATAGAACTGATTCGTGTACTAAGCCGTCGGTCATCGGGTTAGCGAACGCTACAGAAAATAATGGGGAAATGGGGGAGAAAAGACACTGCTTACGAGCATTGTCACCGCCATAGCCCCCATGGGGATTGACTTGCCAGCTGACACGAATAGGGGGTTCTTTTCGGCGGCAATTGATCTCCGCGCCAGCTTGCAAAAGCATCTTTATGACTTCGGGATCGGAATTCGTGATACAAGCTTCCAGTAACGGGGGTGTCTCATCAGAGTATAAGGGATTGTTGTGACAATTGACGTCCTCCCCGGCGACGAGAAGGGATTCAATGATGTCCGGGTCCGCCCTGTTTCTGCAAGCAACGAGGAGGGCCGAATTTCTTGAAAGTCCGATGTGTGTACCGACCCCGTTCTGCAGCAACAACCGTGCCAAAGGCGCGCCGTTGCTGGAGATAGCAGTCCGTAATACGAGGTGGATGCCTGGCACATCGTTGAGGGATTTTCCAGGACCCAAATCCCGTACGAGGTGTGCTATAAGCAAGTGCGCCATTCGGAGGCGTGGCTCTGAAAATTCGAAAAAGTGATTATCCCAATTCCCCGCTATTGTGCAGAGCGCTACTAGGTCGTTGTCGATGTCACGATGGCCTTGCTCTTGAACCAGAAATTCCAGGGCTTCGAAAGATCGATGGCTCCCAGCTGCTCGACGAAGGTTTAAGTCGTGGTTTTGGGACAGAATAGCACCGCGCTTGATCAAATGCTTAACAAGCTTGCCAGAGCCAAGTTTCAGAGCTTTATAAGTCTAGGCTCGGGGTTAGATATGCGACGTATGTCAAGAAGAAAAGAGAAGTGCGGTTCTCATACCAGACGATTCCCCTCGTAATGCTCATATGATGGCTCATTAACATCCAGACCGCCGTTTAGGAGCAAATCAATCGTTTCGATTATCGGCTCGGGTTCGTGGCCGCACTCTAGTGCCAAGAAAGTCGCGATGCCCTCGTCGTCCCCAAGATATTGATTCCAGCGGGCGGTAACGTCGGCACCCGAATTTAACAGAAGTCGGACCAAGGTAGGACTTCCGGACCTGACCGCATAATGCAACGGTGTGTATTGATCACCCATATAGCCAACGTACGCTTCCAAGTCGGCGCCGAACGCGATTAGGAGCGTGGCAGCGTCAAGGTGGCCGCGGATTGCAGCCGCATGCAACGGCGTCTGGACATGGTTCCAGCCCTCGTGGTAGTGAAGCATGCTGATATTGACTTGCTCACGGGACTGCGTCAGGGTCGTCAAGGCCACCTTAAGTCGGTCGACGTGGCCGTCATAAGCAGCATTGAACATCTCTCGCAGCTGCTCGTCGTTGGGATCCGCCGTCGGCCGATGGCGCTCGCGTCGGAGGATTTCGAGCACCCAAGGTTTTTTCAGTCTCCACAAAGAGGGTTCACCTTCCTCGAGGTCGTTAAAAACCGGCTGGGACATTGTTCTTCTGGAAAGGAGGTGGAGAAGAAGGTAAATCGTGGATTGCTGCCGCTGCAGTGTAGAGACTCGGTCGTGTGTTTAGCCACCATGGTTGTTGGTGCCTTCCCCAGCCGTGTGCTGTTAAAATCGCCGATGCTTAGTGGATCCGGGCCCACTTCAGGTGTTTTTGCGGTGAAGAACCCCCCACGGATGCAGGTTTGCACCTCTGGAGTAGCACGGAATAAGCCACTTCTGCCCTGTACTGTTGCAGGCAGATACGTCCCAGCATAGATACGTTCGTCGGACGGTGAGTCTGGGAGCAAATGGGGTCAAAGGCGTCCGTTTCTGGACGCCTGTGATCCATTTGCTCCCAAAACCTCCACAAACCAAAACATGTGAGGGCCGAACTAGTACTCAGGTGGGTGGCCACTGGGGAATCCTCAGTGTTGTATGTTTTTGCCTTTTTTTCCCTCATGGGTGAGGGCTGCGCTACTCTGCCTGGGAAGTTCCTCGCTAGGGGCCGCGTCACGGCGGACATGTGTCGGCCATCTGTGATCTGTGGTCCTCGTGTCATCTCAGCCCCCGTCGTCGCCACGTGAAGGGCAGATCAGCACTTGGATAGCTCTTGTTCTTTTTTCTTTTCTAGTCTACCCGCCTTGGCCCTAATCTATGTGCCCGCCGCGACCCAACAACCGAGAAGCCGGGCGGTGCGGGTTTCCCAGACTAACTGAGCACATACAAGTAAGCTCATGTCAGTCCCTAGGTGCTGTTGTCCCGGCCCAAAAGGGCGACGTGCATTTGCAGGAAAGAAAAAGGGAGAGCGGGCGGGCTGTTGGCGGGGGTGGGGGGTGGGCTTGTCCTCTTAGCACATACCTAGGTACCTACTAAAATAGGTAGATGCCCGGGTACCACGGGCACGCAGTGGGATTGCTTGCTGTACGCACCGGGTTCCCGGACCCAAAACCACCAAACCTACCTACGGACCTACCCTCCCTCAGCCGCAAGGGATAAGACAGACGTGCCTGCTGCTTGGGCTCGTGCTTGCGGCACGCCTCCCAGTGGCCCGGCCCACCCTGCACTCTTGTGATAATGGCTGCAGACACCAAGAGACACAACTGCCCAACAACACGGCGGGCATCCGTTGGGAAGTGACTGAGTGAGCGTGTGTGTGTGTGGGAGAGTATGGAACGCCTCTCCCCAGCAAGTCGATCCAGATGCCACGTTCTGGGCCGGAAACTTGCAGCGTTGCCAACACCTCTGTAAGGGGGCGCAAGGGATGGGAATCCTTCTCTTGTCGTCTCCGAGAGAGTGACGCATCCGAGGGCGGTTGGGGGGTTGGCACGCGGGCCTCTCTTATTTATTTATTTATTTCGGTGGTTTAGTGGCGTCCGCTGTCATGTCTTCTCTATTGTCCCTCTCGCTTCTCATCATCTCACAACACATTCCGGGATCTCTCGGTCTTTTTTCTTGCTTTCCAGGCATAATCTCGTTGCAAGTTCACACTCAGCTGCGTAGCCGAAAACAAAGTACCTACCTAGAGAATAAGAGGCATAGTTGCGGTGGACACCCAGACTCTCGGAGTGGTTCTTGTAACCAACTCGACCTCGGGTCTCGGCAGGACGATCGCCCGAGCAACTTGCACGAGACGGGGCACGTTATATGGCTCTAGCCAGAGCCGGGGAGGGGCTGCGGATGCATGCTCTTGACTTGACTTGACCTGCCGGCCCTATATCATCACTTTTTCCTTCTCCCACCGTCGCGCGCCACGTACTGACATTTGGTAACCTTGGCCATTCCCTAGTGGAGCGTTATAGTCAGCGGCACTGACCACAAAGCTGGCGAGGAGGTGGCCCGCTCCATCACTGGGGCGCCGCGCGGCTCGCGCGCTAGCATCTTCATCAGGGGCTCGCTGGCCGACGAGGGGTCGGTCCGGGCGCTTCACGAGGCTGCCGCGGCGGCGTGGGGCGGCCGCATCGACGCGGCCGTCAACGTGCCGGTGGACCTGAGCGACGAGGACCAGGACGTGCGGCTGGCCGACTTGGACCCGGCCGTCTTTGGCCGGGCCATGTCGGGCTGCGCCTTGCCGACCTTTATCAGCATGCAGGCCCAGGTGTGTCCTTTTTTCTTCTTTTCCTTGGCCCTGATTCTCATAAAGCCTCCTAACCCGGGGAACTAACCCACCACCATCTCCTCTCCAGATCCGGCACATGCTCCCTCTGAGCGAGGGCCGCATCGTCAACATCGCCTCGGCCAGCCCGCCCAACATCCTCGACGAGGGCGGCGCCGACGCGTCGGCCAGATATGCGGTAAGCAACCCGGAGCTTCTTTTTATTCTATCCTATAGCCCATCCCGTTGGTTCCAAGCAGCTGACGTCTCTGATGGTATCCTCATCAACGCCGTCGTGCCGGCCTGCCTGAGCCAGCGCTTCATGCAGGAGGCCCTGTCTCCTGGCTGGCTCGGGACGGGGACGGCCTTTGCGGGCGGCAAGCCCCCTTCGACGAGGCAGGCCGGGGACCTGGACTTTGCCCGGTCTGTCGCGTATCTGCTCGGATGCCAGAATGCGTTTGGGCAGATTGTTACAGTGGACGGGGGTCAATAGCTGGGTTCTGGCTCTGGTGTTTTTTTGTTTTTTTTTTGCTTTGGTTGGGAGTAGACAAGCGTGCTGGATTTTGCTGTTTTGTATGATACTCTTGTCCTGTTCTTAGAAGCGGCGGCCATTCAGCGACCCATAATTTTAGCACTGGTCCAAGCGCAGCCACTCCACTTGGTTTGACCGCGGAGCTGAGTTTAGCCTCGTCCAGTCGCGGTTGATTCCAAGTCAACCTGCTACTGTTTTCCCGACCGGCCCAGCCCACCCGCCGACCTCCATCCCCCCCTTCTCCCGGACAGACAACACCCCAACCATGGACTACCAGAACCGCGCGGGCTCCAAGTTCGGCGGCGGCGGCGTGGCGTCGCAGTCGGCGACCAACGCGGACCGGCGCGAGCGGCTGCGCAAGCTGGCGCTCGAGCACATCGACCTGGACAAGGACCCGTACATCTTCAAGAACCACCTCGGCTCCTTCGAGTGCCGCCTCTGCCTGACGGTGCACCAGAACGACGGCTCGTACCTGGCCCACACCCAGGGGCGCAAGCACCAGACCAACCTCGCCCGCCGCGCCGCCCAGGAGAAGCGCGACGTGCGTAGGGACATCGACCCCCAGACCGGCCTGCCCGTCGGCGTCGTCGGCGCCGGCTTCGGCGCGCTGGGCCTCGGCGGCAACGGCAAGGGCCGCCGACCGGCCGTGAAGATCGGCAGGCCCGGCTACAAGATCACAAAGGTGCGCGACCCCGTCACGCGCGCCGAGGGCCTCATCTTCCAGCTGCAGCTGCCCGAGATAAGCCGCGACGCCGCCGCCGCCGGCGGTGGCGGCGGCCCCAAGTGGCAGGTCGTCAGCGCCTTCTCGCAGCGCGTCGAGGACCCGGACCGCAACTTCCAGTACCTGCTCGTGGCCGCCGAGCCCTACGAGACGTGCGGCTTCAAGATCCCGTCGCGCGAGCTCGACCGCCGCGAGGGCCGGACCTTTGAGTACTGGGACCCCGACGCCAAGGAGTACTGGATCCAGATCATGTTCATGACAGAGCGCGAGGAGCGCTTCAACGCCGCGCCGGGGCTCGTCGGCGGCCCGAGGTGACGAGGTTTTTCTTTTTCTTTTAAAACATTGGGGGATAACAGCAAAAAGGAGAAACAAAAAAAACAAAGCACTCGTGCCCGGCAACATGGAAAAAGTACCCACGGCGGCGTATTTTGTGCTCTTCGGACACCGACTCAACCGAGAGGCTAGCCAACATTCAACTTTTCCGCACCCACGCGTCTTGCGACCCACGCGACTGCTCGTCCTCGTTGGGGGATAGTGAGCTGGGGCCTTGCCACAAAAGGTATCTTCGCCCGTCGCCGACGCCGCGTATGGACATCACTAGACACGTTCCCATAGGCATTTTGAGTAAAGTCCGCATCGAGACTTGAGACACAACTAGATTAACGATACCACAAGACCACGCCTCAAATGCCATTTTTTGTCATATTTGACTGTACAAAAACCAATATCACCTGCTTATAAAAGCTGCTCAGCAGTTCGCATGCACAGGGCCTTGCCTTCACATAGAATCAACCCTCTATTCCAAGGCGAATCTCTGCCACATTACAGTAAATGCGGAAAGCGACCAACTCAAAAAGGCTGTGCGGCGGCAGAAACAGGGTGCCGACGCTGCGCATTTCATGATAATATTGTGCCCAGCTTTGTTCTCGCCTTCTAGATCTAGCGCTTCCCCAAAACCACAACCAGGGCGCCCTCGCTTTGGGAACGACCCCATTTCCTTGCAAAGACGCAATTACCAAGCCCCGCCGAGGCACGCTCATCGGAAGTTGTTATCGAACCGCTTGAAGGTGTAGCCGATGAATGGCAGGCTCATCTCGGGGGTCTCCTCCTGGCCCCGGGCCTGAGCCTGCATCTGCTGCGCGCGGAGTACCGTGGCATTATCCGTCTGGTCGATCTCGTCGGTCGGGAAGTAGGTCGTGTCGATGTTGGACGTGAGGCGCGGCTCGAACGGCGCCCGGATGCGCCGCAGCGTGTCGAACTCGACGCCCCGGAAGAAGGCGTGGCTCTTGATTTCGTGTGCGCCACCTCGTCCCAGACGGTTCTCCGTGTTGCACACCATACTGCGGCCTACTTGTCAGCATTTGAAGTCCTGATAACGTCAACGGATATAGCGCTCGGGTCTCACCTCCGGATCAGATTCTCGGCTTCGGCGCCCAGCTGGATGTCGTCCGGGAAGTACAGACTCTGTCTCCAGTTGACGATCTTCCTGTACGTATCGTGGCTGTCCTCGGCGCAGAATGGCGGCCAGCCGACCAGGCACTCGAACATGATGGTGCCCAGAGACCACCAATCGCAGTCAAAGCTGTAGCCGTGTCCGGTGAAGATCTCGGGAGCAATATAATCAGGAGTTCCGACGGTGGAGTAGGCCATCAACCGCCGCGATCGCCTCCAGTCATTGATCTGAGCTCGGTTAGAAACAGTCAGGTTGATCTGGTCGATGGCTATCGAGTTGCGATCGCCACGGGAGCGGTTGGATTTGCCCTGTAGCAGCTGTTGGTAGTAGTTGTTGTCATGGAGCTTGTGGAAGCCCGTCGACAGGCCAAAGTCGGTCAGCTTAACGTGCCCGCCCCTATCGAGGAGGATGTTGTCCGGCTTGATATCTCTGTAGCGTTTGATGGTCTGATCAGCCCCTCTTCTCTTTGTTTTCTAGTGCAGTATCAGGCCTCGGGTTCCTCGCCCAGAGACAACTCTAGGACTTACCGATGAATGAAGCCCAGCTTGTGGACCGCCTCGATGGCCAGCACGATTTCGGCAATATAGAAACGAGTAATATCCTCCGAAAAGATCTCGTACTTGATCAGCATCGTCATGAGATCACCACCAGGCAAGAACTCCATCAGCATGTAGAGGAAGTTGGCGTCCTGGAATGTGGTGTAGAGTTTGACGACCCAGGGGCTGTCTGATTCGGCCAAGATGTCACGTTCGGCACGCACGTGCGCGAGCTGGTCCTTCTTGAACATTTCCGTTTTGATCAGCGACTTCATAGCGTAGACGCGGTTGTCGGCCCTCTTCTGCACCAGCTTGACCTCGCCGAAGGCGCCCTTGCCGATGATCTTGATGGTGTTGTAGTTCTCCGGCTTGTCCTTGGTGCGGAGGAATCGGAGGTACGAGCCCTCCTTGCGCCCTCCGGTCGACCAGATCTGCTCTTTCCTAGACTGCGACTGGTTCGGCTCGGAAAGTTTGGCCTCCATTTCGCTCTGTCTGCATCACGAAAGGAAGGGCAGGTTAGCAAAGGCGCCGCGGTAGAGCAGGCGCACGCATGCGCCATTCCTTGGCTCGCCATGCGGGCAGGGGGAGTTTGTGGTGGTTGTGAGGCTGCCGCACCTTTGGTTTCGCTCTCTGGCGCGGCGGACGCTGTCCTTGAAGAAGTCGGCGGCAAGCTGGGCGCACTTCTTCTGGTTGTTGTTGGAGTTCGGGCCATACTTGTCCGGATTGCGCTCCGGCGCCTGCTGGAACTCCATGGGCGGGTGCGAGCCAGAGCCAGGCATGGGCGCGTTCATATAGCTAGGGTATGGCTGGGGCTGGCCGGGGGCGCCGGCAGTCCGGGGTCGCTGTGCCGGAGAGGGGCCGCGGGAGGAGTAGGGCGTGCGCAGGTTCTGCTGCGAGAACTGGTGGGCCAGGCCGGTGTTGGGATCGTTGGTTCCCGGGGTGCCAGAGCGGCCTTGGTATTCGGAGCTGGACTGCTGGCCCTGCGGGGGCTGGGAGGGATACTGCGACGGGTACTGGTTCTGCGAGAAGTAGCCCGAGGGTGCGTAGCCGGTCGAGTAGGGCTGGCCTGCCGGGGCACCACCCTGGCTCTGACTCGACGAGATGTGCGACTGGCCCGAGGGAGGGAAGACTGGCTGGGGGAAGGTGGAGGGCGTGGTGGGATAGGCACCACGGTCGTTGGACGGGCCGGTGTTGGCAAAGTTGAGGTACAGGCGGTTGCCCTGGTTATCCATCGCGCCGAGTCGTGGGCACCGAGTCGGCCTCACAGGGAGCTGGGCGAGAGATGAGAAAGGAGATTCGAAGGCTGCAGTGCTTGTGGCCCAGATCCAAGTCGCAACTAACCCCGCCGCTGGCAGAGAAGGATGGTGAGAAAGAAGGAAGGAAAATGTGAGCGGAATGAACGGCTCGGTGGAGTAGTGATTGGCGAGGGCGGCCGATCTGTCAACGGGCAGACTGGCCGGGGGCGCGTAGTAGAGGGGCAAAGGGAGGGTTGGGAAGGCGGGTGTTGTTGTCGGTCAGGCTGTTTTGTGGTGGTTATTGGCTTGTGGGGAGGGGTGGGATTGTTGGCAGCCAGGGAGGGGAGAGAGGCCAATAGGGCCGACACTAGCTCTGGATCAGCTTCCGCCAGAGCACCAGACGCATGCCAGACCAGATGGCAGGCAGCCGAACATATAGAGTACCTGCGGAGGGCTCAATCAATACTGGGCCTAATTTGCAGTCGATCAATGGCCCTGCGGTCTTTCGCGCCGCTGCAGCGAATGCAGCCGTCGATCAGCTCTGGCCAAACGCAGCGAGGTCGACACGACACGACACGACACGATGCGACACACGACACAGAGCAGGCTAGGCGGCAATGGAGGTGTGCACTGGCGGGATTGGGTGAAACAGTAGCACGAGGACGAACGGGGGAAGTGAGAGAAAAAAAAACCCATCCCCCAAAAAAAAAAAAAAAACAGCCCCTTTTCCACCCAAGAGTGAACGGCAGTTGACGACAAGGGGGCGAGCAGTCGGTCTGGCTTCAACTCTGGCTCAGGGCCTCCACCGGCTGCGGTGAGCGAAGCAGTGAAGCGCGGCTCGGCTCTCAGTGACGGAACCAGATCCCAAGCCGGGCTCCCTGTCCGTCTGCCAGGCCCATCCTGGCCCGCTGCTCCCACGCGAATTTCAATGTTGCTGGTGCTCGATCGAAAAGGCCGAGTGTCAAGCCCGACTGCATTCACCTGCGTCCATGTCCATATACGCCGTCCTCCGTCTGCCAAGCAGGGCCGCTTCTGTGCTACCATGCAGCCCCGATTCCGTTTGATGTAGTCGAGACGATCCAGGATGGCTCCGGGATGGCCGCACACCCGCACTGTTGGCACTATGGGAAGCCGGCTCGACTCCCCACCTGCAGCCACTCCAGCTCTCGACCGTGACAGGGCGACCCCACTGCTCGACACCAGGACCATGGGACGAAGGCTCTTCCAGAGCCCGTCCAAGTCGAAGCAGTGCAACCAGGTCGCTTTCACCGCATCGTAGCCCCGGGTGCTACCGAGCGACATTCCGTGCCCGGCGCTGCTGTGGCCTTCCCTGCAGTGCGCCAGGCTTCTTCAGTGCCATCCAGCCTCCTCCCCAATGCCATCCCTGTCACCGCCGCTACCACGGGCAGCAGCCAAACTCGCCCTTGATCCCGCGCCCGTCTGTGCCTCCCATGTGCCCCTTCCATGTGCCCCTTCCCATGTACCCCAAACTTGGTCTGATATGCCCGCTACCGTGCCTGCATCGTCGAGGCGGGCATGGCCAGCCGTCCATAGTACAACGCTACGTGCAGTCGAGGCTTCTTTTGGAGCTCGCTGCTAGCCAGGCCCCGTCTCCCGTCACGCTAGCGGACGGAATGAGCCTGGGCCCCTGCCCCACATTCAACTGGGACAATGGTGGGACGGGACCCACACGGACTATCGCAGAGCTTATCGGTACACCACCACCGTTTGCATGCTAAGCTAGTAAATTTTGTCGAGACGAGCACCTCAGTCACAGTGTGGCGGCCATGGCTAGCGAAAACTGCCTGTGACCGACTTCGATACTCGGCAGCAGTATCAAATTCTTTAGGAATAGGTGGCTCATCTAATTATCTGCCTGTCTGGACGTCATAACACACAATGGCGACCAGCCAGAAGCCCTCCGAGGTATGTCTTCCCCTCCCCTGCCTCCAAGTTTGCGCCCGCTATAAGTCGCCACATGAATTAGACGTCATTTTATGTATATCCCTTTGCGCATGCTAAACACTTTTCTGTCTAACTGCAGGGGAACCGGGCGCTCCGCATGATGGGCCTTCCCACGCTGCCCAAGAGGCTCCCCTCCCGGAACTGGCTCATCTTCTGGGCCGTGGCCACCACGACGAGCGCCGCCATCATCTACGACCGCCGCGAGAAGCGCCGCGCCACGGCCCGCTGGGCCCGCGCCGTCTCCCACATCGCAAAGGAGCCCCTCGCGAGGCCCACCGACATGCCGCGCCGCCTGACCATCTACCTCGAGTCCCCGCCCGGCGACGGCTTCCGCGTCGCCCAGGACCACTTCCTCGAGTACGTCAAGCCCATCATCGCCGCCAGCGGTCTCGACTGGGACTTTGTCCAGGGCCGGCAGCAGGGCGATGTCCGCGCCGTCGTCGCCGAGCGCGTCCGCCGCGCCAGGAGGGCCGTCGAGGTCGACCTCGGCGGCGGCGGCGGCGGCGGCTCCGCCCCTCCTCCCGAGCCCGAGGTGCCCACAGTCGAGGACCTGATCGAGGCGAACCGCAGGCGCAACAACGTCCGCGAGTTCGACGGGCCGAGGGGCGACATCGTCATCGGCAGGCACACCTGGAAGGAGTACATCCGCGGCCTGCACGAGGGGTGGTTGGGCCCCCTGACCCCGCCGCCGGAACCGCCAAAGATCGAAAAGGTCGAGGCGGCCGACGAAGAGGGCGGCGAGGCTAGCGAGAAGAAAGAGGAGGAGAAGAAGCCATCCCGCCCAGCCCAGCTCCGACCACACAACACGCCCGAGCAGTACCCAGCGTCGCCCCTCCCAATGCTCATCCCGGGCGAGCTGACCCCCGCGGCGCCCATACGATTCCCCCACTTGTTGGGCTTCCTCAATACGCCGATACGCCTGCGTCGCTACTTCGGCCGCCGGTACCTGGCCGACGAGATCGGCCGCGAGGTGGCCGCGGTCTGCCTGCTCACATACCGCGACTTTTCCGACGACGAGCTCCGCGACGCACTGGCGTTCGAGGAGCGCGACTGGGTCAAGAAGGTCTGGAAGGAAAACGAAAAGAAGGAGGAGGACAGCGCTTCGCCCGAGCCGCCGCGCGAGCGCATCTGGCCATCAGAGGTCGTCCTGGATACGCGCATCTCCAGCCGCATGAGGAGGTTCGAGCTACGCCCTGACGACGAGGCCAGGGCCCGACAGATCGTCGTGCCCGAGGAGGAGATCGAGGGCTGGACCAAGGGCCATCTCCGGCAGCTGTGGCGCTGGACGGCACGGACGTTTGGAGGTTCGCGGTCCAAGGGGCCCAATGTCGGCAACATGGACGACGAATGAGACATGAACAAGAAAAGAAAAGTGAAAAGAAAAGACGTGAAAGCCACTCCCCGCTCAACATGCTTGTGGGGGTCATAATGGGCTCGACAGAGGGCGGCATCTGTACTATACTCGCTTCTCACAGGGGGCGGGAACCTTGTATACCAAAACTGGGGATATGGGGGGGAGTCCTGGAGGCCTTGTTCAAGGTCATAGTTTCAAATCTTGTTTGTATGACAGACTACGATAGACGGCGTTGTTAGATACTCTCCCAAGCGTATAAAAAAAACATGTATGAGGGCCACACCTACCTAATCCGAATCATCATCAGACCCGTAGTCTACCAGCCCGAGGCCCGGCTTTGCCGAGGGAGGCGCGGCCACCTGGGTTGCGTCGGGCTTTGGTGGCGGTGTCGGAACCGCTTTTGCCGCATCAACCCCCGACGGAGCCTCACCCCCAGCCACCGCCGCCGACTTCTGCTCCTTGCCCGCCGCAGACGTCGTCTTGCGCCTCACGACGCCCCTCAGGATCCCGGCACCCCTCCCGCCACCGCCGTCGTCCTTCCTCCTGCGCTTGCGCCCGGCAGCGGCCCAGTCCTCCTCCGCCGGTGCATCAACACCAGCGCCCACCGCCGCCACCTCCGCCTCGGCCGCCGTCCTCGCCGGATCCTCGCCCTCCCCCTCCCGCACGACGCCGCCGCCCCTGCGCCGGGCCTCGCGGAACCGGTCGAGCCCCTCCTCGACCTCGCGGCGGGTGCGGTCCTCCTCGCGGCGCGTCGACGCCTGCACCTCGTGCAGGAACTCGACCTCGTCGTCGTCAAGCGCCCGGAACTGGTTCTTGATCTTGTTGGCCTCCTCGAACGCGGCCTGCTTGGCGGCTGTTCGGTCGTCACATGTACGTTTTTGTGTGTGTGTGTGTGTGAGAGATGCGACCCGCGTGGCCCCCGGCACAATGAATGGCAAAAGGATGGAAAAATCCGAAATAGGGGGGAGAGGGAAAAAAAAAAAACGTACCCTTGTTCTCCTGCAGTATCGCAAACAGGCTCTTCTCCCCGCCCTCGGCGGCCCGCCGCGCCTCGGCCTCGCGCTGCCGCCGCTGCTCCTCGAGCTCGCGGCTCACCGCCTCCCACTCGCTCTGCCGCTTGGAGCTGCCGCTGCTGCTGCTGCTGCTGCTACTGCCGACGGCGGCGGGCGCGGGCTCGGGGGCCGAGGTGGCTGCGCCGCCGCCGCCGCCGCCGCCGCCGGGTCGACTGGTGGCCGTCGGGTCCGCGTCGACCGCGGCCGACGACACGGCGTGGCCCGTCGCCGCGTCGATGGCCCCTGCCGAGACGAAGCGTGACATTGTCCACGTGGGGTTGTTGCGTGGATTGAACGGCTACCTAGGCTACTAAGAAAATGGTAGGTTGTCTCGCACAAGAAAAAGGGTGAGGAGGGTAGTGGTTAAGTTGGTGTGGCTGGAGCTTCTTGGCTCAATCTAGATTGACTTATTGCTACGGACGCCTTCACACAATCAGAGACGCAGGGTGCACGGCCTCCCGCCGACATTTTCCTATCCACCCCGTCTTCAACGCAGAAACGATGGAACAACCCATCATGCTCATCACAGGACGGGGCTCGGCATGTTTGAACCGCAAAGTGCGTTCTCATGTTTTGTATTTGCTGTACTTTCTGGCCGACTTTTCTTGTCCAATGCAGAAATAATACTACAGGCAGCCGAGGCCTCGACCATGTCCGTTCCTTCCATGGCGCCGCATCTTTTGGCTCTTTGCTCTTGATGCTCGCCTGTTTCCATCATCATGCGGCTACGAGGGAAACTCCGCACAGAATGTGCCATGCCGGAGTCGCTCAGCCACCTGATGTCCGAGGCAGGTACTGATCATGCGGAAACTCGTACAATAGCCACGGCATCCCTCCGGGTTAATCAGAATACACCTCCCTCCAATCCCATCCGGCCAAATGTTCGTAAACTCGTGGAATCGAAAAAGAAAAAAAAACGGAAAAGGTGAGGGTATGAACGACAAAGGAGACGAGCGAGATGACAAGGTCAGTTGCGAGGCAGCATGACCAAGTCAAGTCAACCAGGGGGAAAAAAGCTTTGTCAGACGCAAGTTGGCAAGCGGAAAGAGTGGCAGGTGATAGAGAGGCCCGTGTGACATCACCACTCTCACCTTAACCACGATGCAGGATTGAAAATACCACAACAACACGGGGAAACACAGACGATGAGCTTGGGCAGGATCGTTCTTGTCGCCGAGTGCCGACGTGTTGAGCTCGGGTGGCCGGAACTATCCCGACCAGAAAACCGAGAAGAAAGCGTAAAAAGACGCCAAAATGCGTCAAAAGGAAACCCGACCCTGAAAACGAGCAGAAAAAAGAGTATACGGACAGACACCCCAGCCGACAAAGTAAAAGTATAGACAATAACTCCAAAGGAAACCGCCCCTGTTTTGACCATTTTATCGAATGCGGGAAGAGGGGAATAAACGAAGAAGAATCAAACAATGACACGTTGGTTTTCGTTCGCCAAACACATGGCAGAATGAGGGATTGAGCATACGAAGGCCACATGCGAGGCCTCGAACCCAGCCAGCGTGGCCAGTCGCTCAGAACGAGAGCTTGACCTTCTGGGCATATAACGTACTTTCTGGTTGCGTGCGTGGGTGGGTCGACGTGGCAGAGGACGCGAACCGAGAAGGTGTGCTCCGAGACGTTGAGTTGGGGTATAACGCGTCGCGAGTCCACGGATGGAATAAATGCAAGGCAAATGTGCCTGACAGAGCTGGCTTGTTGGGCGGGGATGGTGAAGTTGCTTTTGGTCGAGTAGAAAACCGTCGCAAGTAGAAAGAGAGTTCGTGGAGGAGGGCGTAGGGCGGCGTTGACGTGTCCGGAGAAGGAAAAGAAAGAAAGAAAAAACGAATCGTCCCAAATCTTTTGTCTTGACCGCCAGGAAACCGTGCAAGTAATCAAATGGTAAACCTCCGCAATCTAGGTGGCGCGAAAAAAAAAATCCCCCAGCTGAATAGCAGGTATTAGATCCAGAAACGCCGAGCAATGGGATATATCACCAGCCCGTATACCGAGGGCAAAAAAGAAAAGGGGAGTATGAGAAAGAGGACAAGATCATTAGACGAAAGCCAAAACAGCAGTTGCCGCGTCAGCCTGATCCGCTCGAAAGCTCCTGCGTGGTGGGGAGCTGCTGCGAAAGTGTCGCAAAGACCCCAGAGGCACGAAAGCCGTCGATGTGGCGTGAAGACGATGTTGGCGAGTCGCAAGCAGAATGAAAGGCCATAATATGGACCGCAGGCAAGGAAAGAACCGGTGATGCTGAGATTAAAGGATCCCTCCACCCATCTCGTCGGTTTGGACGAAGGGCGATGGTCGCCTGGGAAACCAGTGAGGAGGGACCCTGGGGGTATCAGGTAATGCAGATGTGTGAAATGTGTGTATCGTTCTTCGCGGAGTGTGTTGAGTGAAAACTCCGTGGTCAAGCAAAGATGCAGAAAGTGAAAATTCGATGTGACCTCCACTCGGACATGAGCAAGTCTCAGCCCATGACTGTCTGGCCGTAGCCGTGTGTCATGCCGAAATAGGTTGTCGGCTTATGCTGGGCAGATCCCACGCAGTTGGCACATGCGCAGTCAGCAGCATTGGCGTCCCAGATGTTGTGGCCGTAGCCGTAGTATCCGGTGTGCGCTGAGACAGGGTGCCGGGAGCTGTGATGGTAGGTGGGGCGGGCAGAGGACTGCTGGTACGGAGCCTGTCGCGAGTATGTCCCCGACGAAAGACCACGAGAGAACCAGTCGTTGTATTGAGCGTTGTGGCTGGCAGCCGAATTGGTAGTGGCCGAGTTGAGATACTCGGGTGTGCCATAACCAGAATCGGGCGGGGTGAGAGGCATGTTGCACGGGGCTTGGTTGGCGGACCAGCCACCCATGCGAGCAGCGTACCACCCGTCTTGCACAGGCGCGCCGCTCTGCGGCGACATCTCGCTCCGCTTCAGGTTCAAGCTCTGAAGACGCTCATACTCGGCAACCTGCTGCTGATGCCACGTGGAATAGCCGGCGGTGGGGCGTGTGTAGACATCTGTGTCGATCCGGAGACCAGATGGCATCAGGCGCTCGCGAGAAGCCTGAGCCTTCTGCCTCTCCTTGGTGGTCTGCCACTCCTTCCAGCTCTTGAGCCAGGCGCCGTAGTCCTTACTCTGATCGAGGTTGACGTAGAGGTTCCAGTTGATGGCAGCCAGCCACTCGTGCTCAAGAGTGTTGAGCTCCTGCACGCCGATGCCGCTGACCTCGGACCAAGAGCGGTTCTGGAAGGTGTTGTCGTCGAGAAACTTGCTTCCGAGGAGGAAGGCAGTCGTCAACATGCGCCAGACTTGTCCCTCAGAGATGGTGGGACGCTGGCCGCCAAGGCTCATCATGTTGATACGCTTGGCCATGTAGTTCATTCCCAGAAGAATGGTCGTGCTCGGCAGGCGAGTCGACGTGAGGATCTGGGAGACGAATTTCCGGAAAGGAGCCGAGACGGCGGCGTTGCCAAGGGCAAGACGTGTGGCCATCTCGGCAACATATTCAGCCATCTGCTCGACCTCATAGTCGAGCACGGCGCAGACACCGCCAGGCATGATGGGCAGATTGGCAGTGAAGAAACTCGGGGACAGGCCGGCCGAGTCTCTGGGAGTAGCTGCCGATCTTGCGACAACTGCAACAACTGAAAATGCGGCACAACAAGAAGGGATTAACCACAGCTTGTCGGCTTGTTGTTCCGAGGCGATGAGACAGGCGAGCCGTCAAGGAGACGAGGTAGAGACCGAAATTTATCTAGAAAAGCAAGCCATAGATGAGGTTCTCCAGAGCGATGCTGACTAGAGATACTTCAAGTGATGGCGGCAAGAGTTTGTCGAGGAAGAGATGATCGACGATCGAGAGGATGAAATTAAAATCGAGGCCGCAGCGGCAAGACAACCGATCTCGATATGTCGGTCGCTTGGTCGTACAGCACGGGAAAGTCGTCGGAGTCGATAATGAGGGAGATGGTCGAGGGGGAATGATGGCCAACCGAGGTGTTTGGCGAGAGTCGACAAAAAATTAACGAGAAACGACGCGCTTAAATGGAAATATTGTCAGTACGGGGTTTCTTTCAAACGCCGGACAGTTCCCGGCCGACGACGTGTAGCCAGCCTCTCGCTCGCCTTCCGGGGATCAATGATGAGTGTGATGGCTGGGTTTCGAGTCAAGAAAGAGGTGCGTGGAAGAAGGCAAGAACGTGTAATGGGCAGGGACGCCCATAAGCAGAAATACAGCACGTTCACAGCCTAGTCGGCGAGGTGAGGAAAACAAGATTCCACGCCACGCCGCTTGGACGCCTTGTTCTCGTTGTGTGAGGGGGACCAAGGTTCAAAGGTTTGACTCTGCGCTTTGTGTTCGGACACAAGGTCGTCAATGTGGCAGGGAATTCCTGGGGTTGTGACGATCGTGAAAGAGCAAGCTCGGCGGGCGTAAGAAAAACAATGGGAAGGGCGCGGCGAATCTTTGCTGAGGCGGGCCAAATGAGGAAGGAAAACAAGACAAAACGTGATTGTTTCGGGCGCCCGTGGTGGTAGAAATCTCGAGAAGACGTGGGCGCACAAGTGAGCAGTGAACACTAACCTGGCGGCAACGTATGCGTCGTCGATGGTCGCAAATGGGCGCAGGCCTCCTCCTCGATCGGTCGGCTGGGCGGTCGGTCGTTTGAAGTAACGTCCGCAGCAACAAACCAAAGATTCCACGAGCTCTCTCGGACTTGCACAGCAATCAACAGAGCTGAAGCGGTTGGCCCAGGTCAAAAATTGCAGTACGCCACCGAAATCCAAAGGGCCGACAACACAAAACTGAATTTGGCCGTCGTCGTCGTAAAGGCTCCGAAAAGACTTTGCGAATTGTCGGATTCGGGTCGGTCGAGATGGTGAGGGAAGACTGGAGTCGGGAAAGGAGAGGAGGAAGAGGATGCGAGGAGAAGGTGGGTAGAAGATCGAAAAAAAAAAGCGGATGGGAAGGGGAAAAGAAGGGGAGCCCACACCAAGGGTCAGGGTGGTGATGACGAGAAGCGAGCGCAAGCAAAACAGGCCCCTGGGGGGGTGCGCCGTGTCCGGGGTGGGTAACGAGAGGCCTGGGGCGTGGAAGGATGGGCGGGCTGGCGTAATGGAAGAAAAAAAAAAGTGGGAGGAGGCGGTTTGGATTACGGAGGCGCTCGGTGGTGCGTGCAAGCAATTCCAGTCGCCCCCATGCGCACTGTAGTGGCAGCTGGTCGGGCGTCGGGAGTACACTGTGGACACAGGCCGGTGCTCACTTTGGCAGTCGGAGCCACATTGGGTCAAGTGCTCCGTGATTGCGTGTAGGAGGGCAGACAGGCGGTGGGGATAAGTCGCCTGTGAAATCAGGAGCTGTTACGGGGGCGCCATGAACAAGGGAGGGCCGAGAGTCTGCGGGTAGGTGCGTCCAAAAAAAAGGGTTCCGAGGCCAAGCGGCTACCAGGAGGAGGTAGAGAGGGGTGCGTGAGAGGAGACGCACTCCCCCCATTCCCGCCGCAGACACGAAGCAAAGCAGCAGGGCGACTTCCTATTACCTAGGCCGCCCTTGGAATCTCTAGTGCTGTTTCCAAGCACGCCGGGCGACGGCATCCGGTGGCAAGGACGGGTTTTTGTTTTGTTTTTCGCTATTTTCCCTGGGCTTCCTCTTCCTGCCCCTTCGGGTTGCGTGCGTGAAAAAAAAAATTGAAAAAAAAAAGCCTGAGAAACAAAACAAAGCATGTCACAAAGCATTCGATGTTTGACGGGCGGCGTGACGTTCCATCCAAGACCACTCGACAGCGTGTGAGGATACCCGGTAGGGGACGCGAATCTCGTTTGGCGCGGACAGGCAAACATGAAGCCCGTCGCACATCCCGTCTTGTCCCAAAGCAGCAGGCAGCAGGACAAGGGTCCTGTGAGCCACCGACGGAACAGCCGCCCTGCGGCGAGCTGTTGGTCTCATCCGAGTCAAGGTTTTGATGGTCAGTCGTCGTCCGTCCGTCCCCCATGTGAAGACGTCTCAAAAAGAAGAAAGGGAAGGAAAAAAAAACCAGAACGGCCAGGGGCCAGCAAAGCAGACGCACACTTGTCCGTCGGTCAAAGTTGCGGCACTGTATAGTGGTACCTCGGGAGAAACAACATCTGTGCTGAGGGATTTTCCGTGCGGTGGTGCCCAAGCAATCGAGGTAAACGCCGACTCCATCCTCCGGCATGGCGAGGCTCCCATGCACAACGCGCCTCCATCATCTCTTGTCAATGATCCATCGGCAGCGCCATTTCAAGCCGACCATCGGGGCTTGCTATAACAAGATGATGTGTGTGATTAGCCTGGCCACCCCGGTGGGAGCTAGAGCAGTTGGAGCGACAACAGGGACCATCAACATGTCTTGCTGTTGTGCCTCCCTCATTTGCTTCATTTTGCAGAGTGATGGATGGATGCCCCAAGGAGGAGGGCTTTGAGCCTATTTCCACTCCCGAGCCGGTCCCTCGGTCCTGGCTGTGTGCACTGTGGTCCTTGATGCGTCCCTGATTGCTTGGTTTCGACAGCCAGTATGTTACAGTACCCACCGGGAGCCGTCACCATTTGGGACGAATTTGCTACCCGGCCCGCCAACCCAGGCCCATGTGAACAAGCAAGAAAAATTCGACTGGATGCAGGAAAGAGGAGGGGCAATAAAAGTCATTTGAGGAATAAAGATAAAAATAAATCGAACCCTGACGGTTGTCGAAATGAACAGCCGCACACGTATTGTGCGAACGCGCTCAACGCAAAGGAACAAATAAGCACGAGCATGAAGTCAAGCATGAGAGACGGGAGGAGGACATGCTGCACCAAATCCCCAAAATCCACGGCCATGCCGCATTCTAACCCCCAAGCGGATGGCATTTAATAGTGCAATAACATCGTTAGTGCATGTCAGACTCCAAAACGAATCATTTGTGCGCTAGCTTGACCAGGACGATGCGTGCGAGAATCAGGACTCGAACCTTGGTCGAATGGACCAAACATGGCGGCTACGAGGCATGGGGAGTGAATAATGCATATTGAGACATTCATGATGGCGAAACGGTGCGACCAGACAGCAAGATGGTAGGGCAAGAGAAGAAAGAAAAATCCGTCCTAGTTGGGTTTAGCTGCCGTGTGCACCTGTGCGTCGACCCCTTGGGTCAGTCAGGCAACGGACGAGTTATTATTATCCTCGGCCCAGCACACCTCCCTGTTTTGCTCAGTCAAAACAAGAGAAATGAAGGCTCTCTAGGTTTCCGCAGCCATGTCGCATCCCAACCAGCCTTGCTGTCTCGTATCATCTCTGCCAGGTGGCAAAGGGGACCCTGAAAAAAATCCTTGGAAAAAGGGGACGGCCTCGGGGACATGGAAAAGGGCACGCCTTCAAGGCACCATGGAACATCGAAGGCGGTGGTGGGTCTCAACTGGCAACTTGCTTGTTGTGCCTTGCTGTGCAGAGACGACGGATTTGATTTGCACCCAACCTTCTAGAAACCCTGCCACGCCTGGACAGGACCATGCAAGCCATGTTCACCGCTCCAGCCACCAGCCTCGACAACCCCCCTGGTGTCATGTGACCCGGGCGGACCCCTGTCCCGGGTACCAGCGGGCAGGGACCAGGATGAGAACCTATCACGAGTCAGGGACCAAGAAGGGGAGGGGGGCCCTCAGTAAGGAAAATTTCAATGTTGGGAAATTGCCCTGGTAAAAAACTGCCTGGCACCAGAATTGGTCGGCCAGAGAGGCTTGCCGAAATGCGCAGCCGGCGATTCGTCCACACCAAGTTGTGTTTGGGCACACACCATGTGGTGTGTCTCCAAGGGCTGCGGCCCACCAGTGGAGGGGGGAAGGCGCCCAGACAACTGGACTGAACACCATCGGACAATGGACCGCCATATGCAAGACAGTCGAGCGGGCAAGGGAGGAGGCACTGGCGGAAGGAGGAAATAAGTAAATAAATAAATAACAACAACAAAATGAATCACGGCGCTTGAAAGCTTGGGCCACATACACGACGGCCACCTCCTCCTGCCTTGCAAGGTCGATCGCCTTCCTCGACGATTGGCTCATCGCTAGGGTCTTTGCTCGGAAGAGCGAGCTATACCCAGCAGACGATTTCTGGTTGGTACAACCCAATCGGGTGGGGGAATGTAAGCACGCCTTGGCCGTTGTCGAGAATCAGCCCCGGGTGTGGTTTGTGATCTACACCCAAACCTCGGGTTGGTGGCAATTGCGCGGCATCGCGGAACGTCACTGTCTGCTGTCACTTAAATATCGAACGGATAAAGAGAAGCGACGCGAGAGGCGAGGGCAAGGAGGAGAGAGAGAGAGAGAGAGAGAGGGTGTGTGCACGGAGAATAACAAGCAAAAGCCGTGCCTCAGAGGTGCCTGGGTCAGCTTTGCCGGCCGGTTATTGGCCACAGCTCCCAGTCTCAGCACGGCTTTGCTCCGGCCAGGTCTAACCCAACCAAATGGATCGTCGGACGAAAATGGCCGGTCGGGATATCCCAAGCCAATCCCTCCGGAGACACCCCAATCGCATTTCGTTGTTGGGAAGTGCCAGACTTCCCATTACAGTGCCAGGCTCTCCTCATCTGATCCTAGGGTTGGCTGGTTGTGCTCCAGCCACGACAGCACCCCCTGAGAGAAAAAAGAGCCCGTTTGGTTCTCAGGACGGCATGGCCTTCCGAATCAGGCACGCACGCAAAGAAGACGGGAGGGAAGATAAAAATGAAAGCGAGCCCACGAGGGGCGTGTGTGGCCGCCCCTGGGAACCAGCCGACCATCCGAGGCCAGGACTTGCCGTAGGTAGCGGTTGACGCGCAACCCCCACTTCCCCCTCTTTTGCCACTCCAAATCGGGGAGGCCACAGAAGCACGCGCTGCAGCACAGGGCCACAGGGCACACAGGGCGTCAGACACCCCCAATCCACTTTGCGTGGACTCTCTTTCACTGGAGAGAAGTGGCGGCGAAGGGCTCTTCACCGCCATCGCCGTCAAACAGGGGTGACGGGGCCTTTGTTACCCACTTGCAGCACGGCGGGCGGGGGAACCGTGTCCCCCCCCCTCGAGATGGAAATCGTTGGCACACCACGATCGGACCCAGTTGTATAACGGGGAGAGAAAGAGAGACCAGGGACCGGAGCCTAGCACGCATACCTATGGGGAGACGACAGCCTTCGTGCTTGGCCTGCTGCTGCGCCCTGACGGGGGAGCTTCTCCAGGAGAGGTGAAGGTCGGTCTGACTCCTCCCGTTAGACACGTATTCCAGGCACGTAACCCCCATGCTATGATGTGTACCGTATACCAAGTCATCATCACCAAGGTTTGTGTCCTTTCATGGGTCTGGCCCGTCATCACCGCTAGAATCGAAAAACAACACATGGAAGGAAAAGTCGGGACGGGCATAGTGGAAAGATGCGCCTCGACCGACCTTTGCCACGCCAAAAACCAAGCCTGCATCATCTGCCAGCCGTTTTTTTTCATTTTTTTTTTCATGTTGGTGTCCAGCGTCGGCGCGTGGTTGGCCAGGCCGCGGCGGCGGGCCCCTGGTTGACATCAGCCTACCTACCACACCACAGCCAGCCGATCAATACAACCTGCCCGATGGAGCAGGCGTGTTTGCGTTCCCCAGCCGCCGTGAGCCAGCCAGCCGACCCGACCACCTCTAACCGGACAGCCAGCCAGCCAGCCAGACGGCGTTCAGGATCTGCCGCCCACGCCCCCCCACCCACACCCGACCACCCTGCGGGTCATTCAATCTTCAATGGAATATTTGCAGCGGAGCGGATGGAGGGGGGACCTCCTCCTCCCAAAACCCAGCGTGAGCGTGACGTGCTGCCCTACACCTAGGTACACGAGTGCTGGGGGCAAGACACGAAAGGCTAAGCCCAAGGCCAGCTCGTGCTGCGGCCTGGCCTGGCGGCCTGTGCTGAGAAAAGGCAGACAGGGCGGCGGCGGCAACTTTCCAGGAGCTCGGGATCCCACCGTCCTCCTTTATTTTTCTTCTTTTTTTTTTTTTTGCGACGACCAAGGACGACGACGATGATGTGGTGGCTTGGGGTCTCTCGACTCCGGCAGGTAGTCCCTGCAAGCAAGCACCGGCGTGCCGATTTCCGCTTCATCCCCGCCGTCACCAAGGATAAATCCATGATGCAGAGTCGGGAACTAAATGCCTTTTTTTTCTCACGCCTTGCCCTTGTCCGGTCTAGGCTGTGCTTTTTCTTTTTTTTTTGCGAGGGCCTGCTTGCTTGGCCTGCGCCCAGGGCCGACGGCCTGCATCGTCTCTCGACCTCAGAAAAGAGAGAAGAGACAGAGAGGGTCCGTTGCCGGCTGCACGGGCGTAGGTGGTCACAAACTGGTGTGCCGATATGCATGCACAGGCCCCCAGGGGAGAGAAACCCGTCGCTAAGGATGAGGGATAAAGTGCGGTTTTTTTTTTCTCTGAAAGACTTTTCTCTTCTGGCTCCAGACTCAGTGCCACCGCGATCGCACACGACGCGAGACCCTCAACTCTCCCTCACGGCCCACCAGAACACGCCAAAAAGTCAGGCGAAGGAACATGAATGCTCTCGAAATAACTCTTCGTCGATGGGGCCGCTGCCGCCGGCTGGTGGCCAGCCTTTCACTTCCTTCGTCAGCCTCAACTTGCCGTGAGCATGGCATGGAACCTGGTGGGCGCCCCGAAAATCCACCCATCAAAAGACCAAGGCGCCCAAATCGTTTAATGCGGATCACGACGACGTCCCCCTTTGTGATCCGTGCCTCGCCGGTCCGCTCCCTTCTTCCCCTATGAACAAATCTCACACCTAGCCTTTTGCAGTGTTCGCTTGTGCCCTCCCTCTCCGTAAAAAAAAATGGGGGGGTCTAGAGGCTGTGCCTGTAGCGCATGTCCGCCGGGGGGGCCTGATGTAGCATGCAGAGCCCGCCACCTGCCCTGTCAGATCTCCGTCATGGTTCCCATTTTGTTTTTGTTGTTTTTTCGCAGCTTCCGTTTGCGGGTTTGGGTGCATTACGAGACCGGCCTCATCGGGTGACGACGTCCCACTCAACCCCAGGAAACGAGCAATGTCCAAAGTCACAGCCTCCAAGGCAGACGACTGCGACGGGGGTCAGCAACACCAACCCTGATGGATGGGCGACGAGGACGGCGAGCGTGGCTCATGTCTGGACTCGCGTCAAGCCAGCCACCATGTCAACCCCCTAAAGTCTCCTTTATTCACGTTTCTTATCCCAAGTGACGCCGCCTCCTGTGCCACATGGCCAACGAAAGCGCTGCTATCACACTACCACCAATGGGCGAGGCCTGGCTTCTATTTTGTTTTGGCCCCCCTTTTTTTTTGTCCTCTTCCACTCTCTCATCTGTGCCGCCACCACTACTCAGATGACACAAAAAGAGCCGTAATCTCACGCCCGTGGCACAGCATGCAAAGAGCCCATGTCTGTGTTCGATGAGGTAGGTGGGTGGCCACCAGGTGCCTGCGACTGACCGCATAGTCCCCCCCTCATCTCTGCAGCAGGCATGCAGAGAACAGCATGTTGATCGAATCACATTGATGGAGGTGCGGCCGAAGGGTGAGGAAGGGGTAGAGGGAGATCTCGGTTTGTTGCATGGTGGTTTCTCTCTTGTTATTGCCCGCCTTCCCCTTGGGCATCAGGCGAGTAAAAGTCGACCTAAACCCCCACCCACCATCGAACGTTCCAGTCTCCAGCGCCCCCGTACATAAAACTTTGCTTTTTTTTGTTTTCTTTTGCTCTTGCTGTATGTATGCACATGGCAGCCCGTTGGGAAACCGGTCCAGGCGGGCCAATCGACTGTGATGTCTACAAGGACAGGCACGCATTAGCGCGGCGGCGAGCAGGAATGCGCGGAACAGGAATAATAAAGCAAAGCAAAGTGAGTCTTGAACCTATCCGGCATTGGACGGGGGGCTGCGTGTGAGCGCGCCCGCGCAAGCATGGTGCGGTGCGTATGTCTTCCAAGCTTGGATGGAGCCCGCCCCCAATTCGATGGTTCTGTGGTGTGATGTATTGGCTTAGCGCTCGCCGGACCCAGGCCTGCCTGCTTCCGATATGCCCCGGTCCTTGCCCATCGCGTTATGTGTGTGTGTGTGTGTGTGTGTGACTAACCCAGCCAGAGGTACCTACTGGACGGTGGTGCATCGTCATCTGGCTTCGCCCGCGTGCGCAATGCGAGCTGAGGGCGAATGGAGGGGCGATGGTGATCGGCTGGAGAATCCGTGACTGAGAGAGAGCCTACCAAACCCCTCCCACCCATGTCGTACAGCGGATTTGTTTTTGCTTTGCGCGCACACGTATCAGTACGGCACTTTGTGTCGAGCATGGTGATGATCTCGGGCAATCAAGGCGGGAAATCCAGCTTGAGTGTATGTCCGGCAGGTCCAGTCATGCTCGAGAGTGGTCCACGTTGCCTGCCCGGCCACGCCTGCTTAGCCATTCCAGGTACCGAGCACCCCCGAGAAGGGATCAAGGAACAAAACCCCGGGTTATGCCGCCCTGTGCCCGGGGGGAAACCTCCGCCGGGCCGAGAATTTCCATATATTTTGCGTTCGGCGGCACGGGAAGGGTTTATATACTTGTGTGCAGTACAGGCAGTTCTTTTTTCGGCTTTTTTTCTTTTCTTTTTCTTTTGGGGGCAGCGTTTAGCTAGCTGTCTGCCTCCCCGCCTCTACCGGATAACCCGGAGTTTGCGAATCACCCGACCGCCAAGTTGAATCAAACTGGACTGCACCTGTGGCAAAAACTCTTACAGTGGTTGCGTGTGTTACCTACCTGTGGTTTTCTCGAATATCCCCGTCTCGCGATTTTCGGGCCACGAGGTTCCGCAGGACAACACCTCGAAAAACCACATTATCCACCATGGACCTTTAACACAGCAACCACCATGACCTCTGCAATACACCAGGGAGTAGATCACAGTAGTTCGTCAGCCACCTAGTCTAGACTGGGTTGACAAGAACCAGGAAAACGCTCGTCATCCACCATCCACCCGCCCGCTCCCCTCCCTCCCAGCCGTCAGTCATCATTGCGCCTTTTTACGGCACATCTGCTGGTCTTTGCCCCAGACTTGTCCCCACCTAGAAACAAATAAAAAAAGGACAAAAGAACCCGACAAAAGACCCCGTCGTGTGTTCCTCCCCTCCCCCTCGTCCAAGGAAGGCGGGGCACGGTGGGATACTAGTACAAATGGCGCCGACCACACACACCCCGCTAGTGATGGTTTTTATTATTATTATTTTTTGCCGATCACGAGGCGCACGGCATGCAGCAAGTAGCCCATGCAGCAGCGGACTGGAGTCGTCGGCAATACATACTGCTAGAGTGAGTGACGGCGGCGGCGCGGGTGGACGGGGTGTGCTTCTGCAGAAAGAAGAAATCAGGTCCCACTCCTGGAAGTGATCTGCGCTTTCCTGCCTTGGAGAACAGCCCCGTCCATGGAAGGGGTGAGAAAGCCAAGGACGGGGCTGCTTATTCTTTTCACAACTGGACCAGATGGAGATGATGTGTGCAACGTGGGATGTTGTGTGCGGCGTGACACGTGATCATCGAACCAGATGTCATCGCAGACTAGAAGCTGCAGATATTGTTTCGCTCTAGACCGAGATATATCTGAGAAAGACGAGACGGGTATTGGTCGGATGAGCCTTTCCCGCTGAACACCCCCCCAATACGCCAAACCAAACTTGAATCCGTGATAAGAAATGCAACAAAAATCCCTTGACCCGAGCTTGGTCTGCTCAAGACATCCATTACCTCACCCCTCCTTCTTGGTTCCCGCGCGATGGCGTGGCCGAAGAAGAAAAAACGACAATCGGCAACGTCGTGAAGTTTCAATAGTGAAACAAAAACCTCACAGCAGTTTAGTAGACGGGACAATCGCCTTGTCGATGACTGGGTTCCTGCGGCAGGCAACCTCCCTTTCGGGCCCCCACCTGGCGTGCCACCCCTTCTCCCTCGCCACGGCCTCGTCGAAGGCGGCCCTGCACTCGGCGGGGAGCAGGTCCCTGACGTCGTCGGGCACGGCCGCAAGGCCCCTGAAGGGCGAGAGGAAGTCGGGCGAGTCGCCGCCGCCGCCCACCTCGTTGGGCCGCAGGTCGTACGACACCGGCGCCACGCCGCCGGGCGGCGTCTCGAGCGCCACGTCCACCACCCGAAAGTTACGCGGGATGTTGGGCGGCAGCGGCTTGAAGAGGGTCGCCGGCGGGGGGTCGTCGTCATGGGTGTCGAGGGGCTCGGCCGGCGCTGCCGGCTCCAGCGGCACGTGCTCCACGCGGGCGTGGGTGGGCTGCATTATGGCTGGGTACTGCATCACGTTTGTGTGCACGTCGTAGACCCCCGCAAGGTTGGCCTTGCGCATGCTGGTGAGAATGGCGTTGAAGTTGCTGTGAGGAGGGCGAGGAGCGGGAAAAGGTCAGCACGGCAGAGCAGGGAAGAAAGAAAAACCTAGTGTCGACCTGGCTTCAGGGGCAGGAATTACCTGGCTTCGCGGGCGTGCTCCAGCATCCAGTTGGTGTCGTTGACTGCGACGCGGCGCTTCTTGGGCGCGACGAATATGCCCGCCTGCTGCGGCACGACGGGGGCGGCCGAGTGGTACACGGCCGAGGCGCCGTGCCAGGCCACGTACTGGTTCTTGTTGTAGGGCTCGCCCTCGACGAAGTGGTCGTTGGGGTCGGCCAGCTCGCCCTCGGCGACGCCGTCGGCGCACGCCCTGGCCACCTCGTAGTCGTCGGCGACGCGGCGGCCGCCGACGATGATGAAGGCGCCGAACTCGCGGAAGACGGAGCGGGCCGTCACGATGCCGATGGAGCGGCCCTTGTAGCTGTGCGGGATGATGTCGCGCTCGATCATGTCGCGTTTCTCCTCGTCGTCGACGATAACCTTTGTCAGGCGCAGGTGCTTGGTGAAGAAGAGGTACGAGTCCCGGAAGCCGACGCAGCGGGCCGGCTCCGTCGACAGCATGTACAGGCGGTCCCCCTTGCCCAGGACCGTGAAGGTGCGGCAGCGGTACTCGCGCCCGCCCAGCAGGTTCCCGTTCTTGTCCACCTTTGTCTCGCCCTCGGGGTCCTCGGGCAGCGCGACCTCGTCATTGATGATGTCCATCATGTTGCCCTCCTTGTCGATCTGCTGCTGCGTCGGCGCCGCCGGCGC